CAGGACACAACACAACACAGCTCTGTTCCTGGTTGCAATGGCAGCAGCAAACACAGTTAAGAAGACGACAGCATTTGGATCACCTGCTGTCACTGCCCAGAAATGTTTCTCTATAGTGTGGGCAGGCAGGCTCAGTCACAGGATTGCTTAGGAATCTCATCTGCAGCAAATTCCTTCTGCCAAGCTGCTGTGTGATGGCATCAATGATCTTGAGCACAAAGACCTCCTCCCACCTCTCAGGGGTCTCTACCCCTGCTCCTCTCAATCCTCCATCAGATCTGGATCCTTCCTGGCTGACTTGGGTCTCTCCCCTTATCTTTGTAACTGCTGAAGTTCCTAGGAGGATCTGAATACTGAAATCACCACTCCTTTCCCTGCCTCTCCCAAATACAAGTTTATTTCAGTGAAGAAACACTGGTTTACAGCTGATGCTCAAGCCTGCAAGGTTTCCTTTTTTTTTTTTTTTTTTTTCCTCATGTGTTGTCTGCCTTGCAATTTGACAGTTTTGGTTTCCATGGTACTGGAAAGGCTACCCTCAACTCTTGCCAGCACGGCCTCAATAATCTCTGGAATGTAAAGCTAATGTCTCTCACGTTGTACATACTCAATCAATGCCCCTTCCAAGTGTATTGGTCTCCTCATTCCCCCTGCACTACAAGCTAGTATTCAGGTGTCTCCTCCTTTGACCAGAAGTCCTTGTATTTGTATGGAGGCACATCAGGGAGATGTGTGACAAACTTCCTCTCCTCGGGGACTCACTGGATATGGCCTTCTGGTCACTCTACCAGTTTATACAGCAGTAACAGGGCATATCCATGGGACTCCCCTGTCTTCACTGCATCTCCAGTTTTGGCTTCATAAAGAATCCAGATTAATCTGCATCGTGATGGATTCAAAAAATTTTTAAAAACCCAGTTTTAATAATAAATGTTTTCACACTGCTCTCTTCCCCCAGGTGCAGTGTTCCTCACACCGCATCCTCTCCAGGGGCAAAGTGCACAGATGCTTCCCATGGCCCAAGCTGTGTACGACTGGGTGGGTAGGGCTAAGGGCATTTTCCCTGGCAGGGTGCACACTGGCAGGCAAAAGAAGTGGCTGACCCAGTTCAACAGAGCGGCCTACACAGCGGAACAGCCTCTAGACGAAGGTGGTTACAAGACCTGATTACTGGAGGTTCAAAACACAGGGTTACCCAAACACCTGAAACTATGTGTTAATGCAGAGCACAGATTCTTGGCACTAGGGGGGAGAAAAAAACCCTTAAATACACCTAAAGTTCATAAGAACTGCGTGTCTGATGAAGAACCGCGTAATCTGTTAATACACACATAGGCAATTTTCCACTCGGCAAGAAGAACAGATTATACTTAAAGATGGGAGAAAGCCAAAGCGATCCAATGCTTAATGTGCTCCCTTTGCTTCCCTCCTCACAGTAGGGAAACCCAAAACCAAGATAGAAACCCTCTGCAGGCTATTTGAAAAACACAAACGCACACTGGATCAGGAGACGTTTAAAGTGCACACTTTTATTTTCTATTACAAAGGCTATAAGAAGCAAGTTTGGTTTTTTCCTTTATTTAAGAACAAAAACGTTGTTAAAACATCTACATTATTATCCTGATTCTAGACCTTATGAAATATACTAAGTTCTTTTTTAATAGTAAAGCGTGGTATTCTTAAATTATATTAATACAAAGACATATTAAAGGACTCGAAATCATTACTACCCAGCTCAGAACTGCAGCATCCCCTTGCTATCTTTTCCTTTCACTTGCTAAAACCCATCCATTTTTGACATACAGTTTCATACAAGCTAAGTAGGGTATTTTCTGTTGTTGCTTTTTTTTTTTATTTCCCCCTGTAAAGGCCAGGTTAACTCCAATGCCAGTGTCACTTAAATTCCTGCCCCTACCAAAGAATTTGGGAAAAGAGTTTCACTAAGTCCTTCAGCATTTAACAAGCTTCTGCTCTGTGTGAATGTCTGTGGTTATTTTACAGGATATGAAATTTTCTTCTGATGTTATTTAGAACATCACTTCTTTTGCTAATAACCCTCAAATTTGGTTCTATGCTGCAGAACTTTCTTCTCTCACATGAATAAAGAAGAGAGAGTTATCAGAGTCTTGTGAACAAACCACTAACAGCCCTACCACTTGTGGTTTATCTGATGTAGAGCTGCGAGGGCCGAGCAGTTTTGCTGAGAGCACATAGTGTGCTGAAAAAAACCCTCTTGGCTTGATAAAGCGAGCCTGAGAAGTCACGTGTGAACTTTTCTGTCTTTCACAATGTCCCTTTAAATAATATAAGCAAAGCCTTACCATTAAAACTTTACTCGCTAGTTAGCAGTATAATACTCTCTGAGATGGGACTGCAAGGACATCCTAAGGGGTTTCAGAAATGTGAACAGGGAAACCTGTCCCATCTCAAAATTTATACCTATCCATATAAAGCCCTCCCCTCTTTTGTTATTTTCCTTTCCCTATACCAAATAAAACTCTTCATATTTAAACTGGAGATGCTGCGTTTCCTGGCACGAGTCCTTTTCCTTTACCCTCATTTTAAAAGATTCCTTTGATACCACACACATATAATATTATATAGAGAGATATATTTAATACCTGTGTATATATGCTTCATGGGAGGGGTCACATATATACACACTAAAACAAGTCTGGTGACAAAGTACTGCAACACCACAGACCAGGTTATCATATCAGGGAAAACAAAAAGAGACACTCAACACAACCCCCATGACTGTGGCCTCCCTCACCTCACCTCACACATGCTCTCCCTCTCCCCGCCTCAGCCCCAGCCTAAACCCCCAAAACCTCACTGAGCAGCTTGTCTCTCATTGCAGAGATGGGGAGAGGGGACAGTGACACACCCCATAACTTAAACAAGTCCTCATACGGAAATCACGGCTCAGCGAACGCTAGAGTCACACTAGAGATGCAGGTTTGTTTTAAAAATAAAAAACACATTCCAATGTTCCCCAATCCAGATTTCCTTCCTTGGCGTCTCTGCCCAAGAAGAGCAGAACAAGATAACCCAGGAGATGATGCCTGCCTTCTCCCGTCTCCATCTGTAAAGCTGACCACTTGAGCGCTAGGACGACCAGGAGAAGGTACCACAAAGGACAGAGGAGAAAATATAGCACCTGACCACTCATACCAAACCAATGACTACCATCCACATTTTAAGGGAAAGGAAAAAAGCTCTGTGGGGAAGTGGTTGAGTTGTCCCAGGAAGTGGCTGAGTCACCATCCCTGGAGGTATTTAGAAAGACATGTAGTGTGACAGTTAGGGATGTGGTTTAGTCTGGGGACTTGGCAGTGCAGGGTTAATGATTGGACTTGATGATCTTTGAGTTCTTTTCCAACCTAAGCGATTCAAAGTGCATAGGCACATTCAGTTTCCTTAGAGCACACTGTCTCTCTGGAAAGACTCCAGACTAGTGTGCAGAGCACTCTGCTCCGTAACTGGACCGTAACTACCCCAGTGGAGCCAAAGCACCTCCCTGAAGGCTGGTTTAGAAAGCATCTGGTGCATTTCCACATCTCCTGATTTCCACATCTCATCTCTCCTGAAGCTGTGAATCCCAATGATATGGGAGCAGGGAGCAAAGAGGGAGATCCAGCAATGCCAAAGCACCAAGCCAGATTGTATTTACCATGGACACAGCACTGCCAGCCTCAATGAGTCCAAGACTGCTGTCTAAGGAGACTCTGTACAAAAAAGACATCCCTGGTGAAGGCTGGGAGGGAGATGTATTTGTGTTTGAGTGGATGGTGCCATCCCTGCATACAAAACTGCAAAGCACAGCTGGACTGCAGAAGAGAGGAGAGGGAAGCTCAGGACAGGACACATGTTTACTGCTTACAGGAAAAGACAAGCAGAAAGTACAAGGCTGGCATTCAGAGCAGTACTGCCTCTTCCTGCTGCCACTATAAAAGCCAAAAGTCCTGGCCCAGAGCTCAGCATCACTGGTTCCCCCATCATGGCATACATCAGGCAGGGCAGGAGCAGGCGCATGGCTGGGTCCCACCCACCGTGCCACTCACTCTTCACCACTGTCCCTGCCCTGGGTCACATCCTGGCTGCACTGTGCATCTGCAAGCTCCCTGCCCCGGCTCTGAGGAGGAGGGAGATGGACCTCTGGTGCTGGTAAGTGGTTCCAGCTGGATTCCCATCAGCTAAATATGGCCCGTGCTGCTCGATGGTGTCCTTTTAAATAGGTTCCCACCCAGTTCTGGCAGTGCAGGGAAAAACACAGCTCTATGTAACCAGAAGCACACACCATTTAAAGAGCAAAAAGGGAACACCATTACCTCCCTCTCTTCTCTTCAGGACACAAGGCAACACAGAAACACAGTCTCCTTTTGGTTACAGCCTTCCTCCTGACTGATACTGCTGCATGGACTAGTGACACAGGGTGTGTCACAGACTCCACCTACTAGATGGGTTCAATCTTACTTGCACTAGTCCCACCAGCCAGAAAACAAAACCAAAACTATTTACTCTATTTGCCACACACTGAGAAAGACGTCTAATGAAGAGTCACCAATCTGCTTTCTGGGTGCAGTCAGCTGAAACAGTCTGAAGTAACCTACAACCCCGTTCCTGCTGCTGCAATCAGTTTCATTACTTTGCTGCTTTCACCTGCACTGTTATCACCACAGGCTGTTATCCTCCTCAACACCAGAAGATGCCTCAGGGCAATATAGATAGTAGGAGCTTAAGCCTAGATGTTTTAAGACAGGTCTAGTGGTTTTCCTTCTTTGCACCTCAATGCCTAATTCTTCTGGTATTGAACTCCCAGGAGAGCAGGAAGGCTGCAGCAGGATGAGTGGGGTTTGCTCTGCAGCACTGAAAAGAGGAACACATGAAATTCATGGTCGTCTTTTCACCAGATGTCATAAAATCATAGAATCATAGAATCAAAGAATGGCCTGGGTTGGAAGGGACCTTAAAGACCATCTAGTTCCAATCCCCCTGTCCAAAGACACCTTCCACAAGACCATGTTGCTCAGAGCTCTATCCAACCTGGCCTTGAACACTTCGGGGATGGGGCATCCACAGCTTCTCTGGCCCTTTCTCTCAGGTCTGTCCTCCAGACCTCCGCAGTTGTACTCTGAAGGACAGAGTAATAACACAAGGAGAAATGCTCTGTTTTGCAGCCCAGTACAAACTGAATTAATTTCTTTGGACAGTGAAAACAGAAAGATGGAGTGGAGGGAGAACTTGGGGGAAAGAAAGGGAAAAAAATGGATTACAAACTCAGTGAGCACGGCGTTCGCTGACCAAGGAGAATCAAATTCACAAATTCATTCATCACTAATAAATCATCATCTCATAATCTTAGAAGAAAAGAAAAGAAAATGTTCTCTTTGCAAGACACAGATCTCGCTCTCCCTGCTACTGCCACTCGGAAAACCCACCCCGTATTTCTGCAGCTGACAGGCTCTCCCCTGCCCTTACTATACACCATCCCGCAATAGGAAGTTGTATTTCCCGAAGTCGTCATCCCTGGGGCAGAGCAGCATGTCCTTGCGGGCTTTGGCCAGTTTCTGTTTCAGCACTTCCCTCCGGTCCAGCCACTCCGTCAGTTCGTCCTGGCCATGGGCATAGCGACACTCCTCTCCCTCAGGACAGGCCTTGTTCTTCTGAAACCTGCCAGCACAAGAAGCACAGTCGAGAGGGCACCCCCAGGATAGCGTTATGAGCTCCCTGTCTGGGATACTCGATCAGGACCCACTGAAACATGCTGTGAATCCTCCTTTTTAAAGGCGAGACAATTCTTATAAACCCAGTGCTGGTGGGAAAGGCAACAGAGGCTGGGAACAGAAACAGAGCAGCAAAAAGAGCAATGGCTATTGAGGGAATTTAGTCAAGAGCACGAAACAACGTGACCCGGAACTGGACCAGTGCACAAGAAAGGAAATGCCAGGTAACCACCACAAAAGACAGAGCTTTCTCTCTAACCAAAATGGCGTCTAACCTTCTCAAGGCACCTCAAGGTGATGATTCAGAGGGTGTGAGCATTCAAACCACTTAATAAGGCACCTGGGATTCCCCCAATCACTAGGCCAAATTGGACTGTTCAGCAGCCAGAGAGATGAAAGTAAACTGGCTATGGAGGCCACAGGTGCAGACATGAAACTCGCTCTCCTTTTCTAAAGACACATGCTCAGGAATGTATTTTTATCCCTCAGTACTGTGGCTGAGCACCTCTGGCATCCAAGAGCAGCCTTGCTGTAACCCAAACCTGTCATCTCATCCCACTCCTCCTCTATGCAGAAATCTCTGGGAACTCTGTGAGAGGATGAGGAGGGATGACAGAGGTGCTGGGCCTGTTACCCTGTCCCTGCAGCAGCAGCACAGGAGGGAGATGAGACAACTGTACCTTTCACAGAGCCGGAATTCACCCATGGGGAAGCGGTAGGTCCAGCAGCTGGAATCACTGTCTGAGGTGAAGACCTTTTCCTTGTGTTTTTCCGACTGGATGTGCTGCTGCCATTGCTTCTTGCTGTTGCTGTTCTTCCCGCAGAGCCAGCAGTGGTAGCCCATCTAACCGGTGCAGACAGGGCAAAGGGCCAGTCAGTGTGTTGACATTCACACCCATTTGCCTTCCCTGTGCTGGCTTTGCCTCTCCCCCCTCTTCTTCCAGAGCATCCTGGAAGCTCTACTCAATCTACGACTTCCCACACTTCTCTGCCATGTCATCTTTAGGGAACTGTCCTGTCACTAAAGGGAAACTAAGGAGATGCTCTGTTGGCATCTAGCTATGGCCCAAACAGGCTCAGCGGACAGGGCAGCTCAGTTCACGGATATGGCTCCCCTGCTGATGGCCCCAGTGGGGTCTCTCTGCAAGGTCCCCAAGTGCACAGCCAATCCAGGACTCTTTAGGAGCACAAAGCCTTACACCAGCAAGGAGTCTAAAGAGGCACATCTGCCTTTACTTTTCCCAGGCTGCTGTGCTTCTGACCCAGCTCTTCTCCAAGCTTCTTTCTTTTCTGACAGGCCTGCAATGGTTTTGCCAGCTTGCCCAGGAGGACTCAGGAAGCCCAGAGAGTGGCTGAGCCCACACAAAAGGGAACCTAAGGTAGACTCCTAATGACCTGAGTATTAACAGAAAAGCCATTGCAGAGCCTTGCTGACCCCAGGTCAATCTCTTCTTGCCTCAGCTGTGCCGCCCTTGTTGTGCTGCTCCAAGCTGTCCATTTAACCTACATTAGAAGAGCAATATAGTCCCTGCTAGCTCACACCTGGAGCACAGGAGAGCAGCAGGATGTCAGCACTGAGGAGAAAGAATAAAGAACAAGAGATCAGCTGATTACCATGATGTCAGCATAGTCGGTGGGCATCTGGATCTGCTTCTCCCCTTCTCGTGAGGTGAGTGGTGTTCCCTCTCCAGGCTTCCCGGGATTGTGTTTCTTTAGCCACATGTCATAGGTCTGCTGCATATCTAGTACTGCACAAAGGCAACCCATGAAGTCACTCAGACAACCTCCCACACCGTGCACAAACTACAAGAAAAGGACGAATGCTGGGGCAGCCCTTCCCTCCCCTCGCCTATGCAGCAGCAGCAGACTGAAGGTCTGTGCTTGGGAGGCCCCATGTGACCTCCTCAAATGAGACCCCTGCAGAAAGGAACCAAATTCACACCACATCACCTGGTATGGGGGGTGTCTTCTATCAGTTGAAAGGCAATTGTGACAGCAGCTACACAAAATTGTCAGGAAGGTGAGAAAGTGCCTCAAGTTCTCCATAGAATTCACCCCACAAGACGATTCTCCATCAGGAATGGTTCTGCTTGACCTCAGAAGACATCTCACTCCAGCCAGGAAGCTAAGCCTGGGGCTGGTTTCAGATCTACCCCTTTCTTCTAAGCCTAAGTTTCATCCTCAGCACTAGAGAGGGAGGAGAGCCCTTAAGCAAGCTGGCCACAGGAAGCATTAAGAAGGGGAGAAAGACCTAATGATAGCTTGCTCCGAGTTCATAACCTGCCCCGAGGACTGCAGTGATAGTCTCTTGAGGCTTTTGGTTTAAAACCCACTCAGTATACTAGTGGGAAAGGAAATTCGAGGTGGAAGCTTTAACTTTAACACATCTGCCTTTCCAAGATCAGCTCCTGAGAGAGCCTATGGAAACACAACTGTTTGCAGACACCAATATGATGCTCTAAGTACAATGCATTAGTTATTTACTCCTTGCTAAATGGGTAATTGAGGAACTTGAGGCAATAGGAACTTAAGAATGCAAATTCCCCCAAACTGAAACAACACTGTCCTTAGAAGATTCACCTTTGTGCTTAAGCAAACACACACAGATTGGTCTGATGTGCTCTAAAGGCTTCAGCAACAAAATGATTTGAACTGTAACAAGTAACAGTCTGGCTCAGCAGAGTGAAAGACCCTCCATAGAATCATAGAGACCAAACAAACTCAGGGCAGGCCTGAAATCCTTCAGGCTTTCCAGGATCTCCCGCAGAGGCAAGTGAGCACATGGGCAACTAGTCCTCTTCCCCTTGCTGTTGGTCTGAATAAACAAGGATTGCTGCCGTAGCTGGCCATCCAGGCCATGGGCAATCCCCCAGCAATCCCCCAGACAGTAAGCTGGGAACCTGCATAATTAAATACAAACTCCTCCAAAAAGTCACCACCCAACGATGTTCTCATTCAGGATCTCAACTCCACCCCTTTGAGTACAATGCCATGAGTAGGGAGTGCCGCAGCCCAGGAGCAAGGCATATGAAGAGAAATAGGCAAGAAAGCCAAGGCAGATAGAAGACAGACAAGAGAGATACAGGAGCAGCTACAGGCCAGGACTGGTGCTCTGGCAGAGCTCCATACAGAGCCAGGCCTGGGACTCTACAGGCAACTGGAGGGACAGCACAGGCTGGATTCAAATATGCTGCAGAAAGAGAGGGCAGCAATGGAGCAAAGCAAGACAATGGGACCAATGTGTGCAAGTCCCAGAGCCAGGGACTCAAGATACACATGCACATTTATGAAAAGAGCAGCTCTAAATTACTGTAGACAGACCTGTCCCTTAATCCCACCTAAGCTCATGGGCACAGCCCTGTCCAGCTCCATCTCTGTTGTCAAGAGTATGTCTTAAAAAACCCTGCATCCACTCCCCAAATGCCCTCTTCCCTCTCCCCACTCACTTTTATTTTCTTTCATGAAGGTCCACATGTCTCTCTCCTCAGGACTGTGGGCAAAGGAGCAGTTGCCCACATATTGGCATTTCCTGCCATTCTGTGCATGGATACACAACTGTTAAAAGACAGAGAGAAAAATTTAGCATCAGCACAAATACTCCTTGGTAGTGGGGAAAGTGGGTTCAATAATCAGCTGGGGCATTAAATTGCACACAGGAGAGGTTGCAAACAGGACACTTCATACATCATTAACTCATGCTTCTTTTCCTCAACCTTCTGATGACATAAACATGCAGGCAGCTCAGTTCAGCACCTATTCCATTTCCACAGGTGACCGGGTGCAGGTACAGGTCAGGAGAGCAGGGAGCAACCTGAGTTGATCCCATAGTGTCTCCTGCTGGTCAAGCTCCTGGTCCCCAAAGGTGACTCATTCTCCAACCATCTCCGAGTGGCCTTTACAGGTTGCTTAGACCACACTAGTGGGCACACAACTTTACCGCACAGCTACCAACAGCAACAGTGCCAGAGAAAAGGAGCAGCTTTCCAAGCATCATATTGACTGATCGTCCCTTCTTCCCCCAGTCCTGGCACCTCGGGAGGATATACCATAGGGTAGGGGGAAGGAATTTCTCCTTTCAGGAAAAAATGAAAGGAGAGAAAGAGAGGAGCTATCTATTGCCACATTTGGGGCTGGGGTCGGAGGTTAGATATCTGTAACTTTCCTCATAGCACGTGGCTTTTTAGCTGAATTCTTAGTTTTACTTTCAAAACCCATTGTGAGCAAGTTTCACAATCTACAGCAGCCCAGCCACAGCAAAGGCAGGAACTGGTTTCTCCTAAGTGTCTTCCCTCTCACCCACATTGAGAAACCCTGACCTAAGGGAGACTTAAATTTCATTCCCAAAACCTCTGCAGCCAGAGATGCATTAACAGTTCTTGATATGCCTTAATAGCAACTTTAAAAACTTGCATATGTATATGGAGTGATTTAAATGGGTGCTATTCCTTCTTCTGCTCCACCTTTTTGCTGGATTTTGTTGCCATCAGTCTGTCCTTACCTCCCATCTCAGCCATCACATGCCTGCCTCCCTACCAGGCCTGCAAGGGACCAGCCCTCAAAGCACTGCACCATGGTGGAAGGGAAAGAGAAGGGGCATCTGGCATGGGGCTTACATCATATTGCTGTGGGAAGTTGCGGGTGGGAGGCAGTGGTCGGACTGACACCCACTTCTTCTTTGCTTTGGACATCACCAGCAGGACACGGCGTTCCTTCGTCCAGCTGAAGAAGAGAGAATAAATCAAGAGAGGCATAAGGAAGAGCAGAACAAGGGTTCTTTACCTCAGAGACCCTTAAATATTGAGAGCTGACCAGATCCTGCTGTCCACCTTGTCCCTGCACTGTCTGGTTGCTCCTAGATGGGCACATCTGTGATGGAGAAGCTACAAGAAGGGTGTTTTAGGAGGACTTCTCCCTGTATGTATTACCTATTTCCTAGAGTATTTCTTCTCATAAAGCCACAAAAATCTCCCCCAAATCTCACATGACATCACCATGGATTACTAAACAGCTGCATTCTACCCTTCGACACAGCCAATTCTTGTGCAATCAGATCCATGAAAAACACTTGGGAATATTTTCTGCTTGAAAGGTGCAATAGAAATGCAAGTTTTTACAAGCACTGTCTTATGAACAGGTGCCAGGAAGTATTAATTCTCCTGCAGCTCCAGCAAGTGATTACCAGGAGATACCCTTGGCAAAAGCCCCAGCTCTTTTCAGCAGCTGCACAAAGAGGTGTTATTTTTCCCATTCCAGGAAGCAATCTTCACCTGCTCACTTCCTCCAGAAACTGCTGCTTCTGTCTCTTCTTCAACAGAAGTCTTACATTTGCCATGTAAGACTTTGTTGGACTGTGCCTCTGTGGCTTGTATTATAGGAAGAGAAGTCCTATAAACCCTTCCTCTCAATCCAAATTGTTCTCTGACTCAATGATTTTATCACACCAAACATTCTTATGGGGCCCAAGGAGCTGAGAGGTGCAAACAGACATGACATACACCAGAGAAGAGCAACCAAAGCAATGAAAAAGCCAAGGAAACTATTTTAAAATGAAGCAGAATGCTTGGAGAGGGGTGGGGGAAAGAGAAGGTTGCATTGCTCACCAGTGGCGGGCTTTGGCACTACAGTACTTGAGGTCTTTATCTGGCTCCACCAGCTGCCCATTCCTCCAGCACTGGCCACACACAAATTTCATCTGGAGGTCAAAGGTGCTTGACGTGGGAGTCCGGGAAGAAGCCTAGGGAAAAGAACCACAGTCTCAGGCACACAGAGGCAAAATGCACTCCCCAAACCTGCCACAGTGATGCTGGCAGCTCCCCACACGCCCGTGTGCCAGCGACAGGCCAGATTAAATCACAGACAGCCCAGCTCTCCTTTGCCAGTGTTAGCTGGTGGCCTGTTGAGATTCCAGACAGGAGCAAAACCACTGCTTGCTTCAGCATGATTTCCTGGGCTTTGACGTCTGGCTGAAAGCACAGACAGTCTGACAGCTTCCAGCACTGACCAGGCCTGGCTGTGAAACCCCTGCAGCCTGCCTCTGTGTACAGACAAGCTCTGTGAGACCTGCCCCAGCACTCATCCCCGCTTCCCTGCAGGGAGGGCAATCCATGTCCCCCTCGCTGCTTGTGGAGAGAGCCTGGTCACACAGCTGAGAGAGCCCCTCAGGAGGAAGCCAAGCCATGCCACAGTGCAGGATCCACCACTCCTGCTTTAGGACCAAGAGGCTCATGTCACATCTACCATTTGACACTATGAAGTCAGAGCTGGGTCCTCTTGTTGATATCCTTCCAAGCCATTTCTGGGCAGGTTTCCACCTCTCATGGTTCCTCTGCACTGGATTTCACAAGCAGTTAATCACAGTCTCTGGACAGACGTACAATGCACGTATTTCACACCTTCTCAGCCACCGCACTTACTGACCCCACCATGAGAAGGCTGGTTTGGGATTATAACTAACAAATTGTGGAGGAAGGAAAAAAAAAAAAAAAGAAGCCAGTCCCGTATCACTGCTGCCTCATGTTTTCTGAGCAAACCAACAGAAAGCTGTTTGCATTCTTTATCATCCCTGGAAGACATGAGGCTGGCATCTCCAGTTCACTTCCAAACTAAAGAGCAAACCCAAGTGCGTGCCAGTGGCCCTGGGACTGGGAGTATGTGAGAGTACAAAAGAACACCCTGGTCATCAAGCCGGCCATGAAGCACAAAGGTCATGCACCACTAAAACAGTTCTCTGACTGCAAACTGCATCAGCAGCCCGTCCCACCTGCCATGCCTTGACTTCTAACCCTGAGCATCTCACAATGAGCAGACATTGCAAGTCATGTCCCTGAAGAGCAGGCTTCTGCCAGCAAATGATTAGCAATAGCATGGACCCTGTATGCATCCCTTGACAAAGGGAAAACAGCAAGCACGGGCAACGCAGAATCAAAGCATTTCCGAGGAAACACCACATCACCTATTGACTACCACTCTGCATCCTCCAGACCTAGTCTTTTGCAGAAGCAGAGCTGACATATAAAAGGTCTTCTGTCACTGTGAAAAGCTGACCAGAGAGGTGACCTTTCGTCTGTGCTGACTACAAGAAGCCATTAGTGCTCTGATGTCCCAGCAAAAGGACCCTACCAGAGAATCAGCATCTCTCTTGAAAAGCAGCAGCGATTCTCTACTCCTCTGTATGAGCCTTTTTGGTGGCTCCCAGCATATGATAATTCAGCTGTGCTGGTGACCACCAAGAACACACCAAAGTGGCAGCTGTGGGACGAGCAGAGTTGAGACCTGGGCTATCATGGAAGGCGATAAGGTGCCTCCCTCTGAGATGTGCAGCCTCTGAACAGTAGTTTTAACCTCCACTTGGTCTCCAAAGGAAATGACACTGCAGCTCACTACTGACCCATCAAACCTATATGCCTAAGGCAACAAAATGGCACTGCTGGCATATTCCCTTTCATCAGTCCTGTGCTCTCCTTCTGGTGACAGATCTCTCAGCACAGCCAGAAAGCTTTGCTCAAACCTACTGATCCAGCAAAAATAAAAACTGAGTGGCTCCAGAAGGGAAAATAGATCAAGATAAAAAGAATGTCTCTCAGGTAGTTCTGGTAACCTGGGCTGCTTTTTCCACAAATGCTTAACCAAAAGAAGCCCCATGCATTTCTTCATCTGAGTCATGCAAACTGTTGATCAATCCAGTGGGCAGGTATGCTCCCAGGATATTAGGAGCCAAGCAAAAAATCAAAGCTGCTGCCATTAATGCTACATGACTGTATTTGTAAAGGCAAGACACATACCTGGCAGGCTGCTGATAACCAACAGTGTGGAAATTGTATCACATGAGGCTCTAGCACACAGAGCCAGGCAAAAAGTGCCACGGGCTGTGGCACCACCCCTTGCTATGAAGCCAATATAGTGTTAGCTGTACACCATGGCAACCAAATAAATAAAAGCCTTTGGCACGACAGCTCTCCGCTTCAGGCTCTGCAGAAACCAACAGCCGCAGCACGGCCACTCACATCTCCCAACTTCAGGAACCCCGCTCAGTCTGGAGGAGCCACATCCCTCAGGCAAATATTTGAGGAGCCCATGTTACTCAGCCACATAACTGAGTGAGCTGTACTTGGGGGCAAGTACCCTTTATTAGAGACTTTTCATTCCTCTCCATGCTTAAATTAATAATTCCGAGGTCAGCTTTCATGGGGTTCTGCAGCTGGCTAGGGGAGTAAAAACAAATTAGCCCTTGAAAACCAGAAAAAAATCAGGGCTACAACCCCTCAATTCACAAGAATGCTATGGGAGACACCCAGCTACCTACAACAGTCCCTCCTGCTGATTGCCTCTTCAATCTGCAGCCACTGGGTTTACTCCTAGAGAAGCCTCTACGGGACCAAACTTGTGGGGCCAAGTGCAAGATTCCCAGCAGGTGCTTAGCAAGCAGTGCTAAGTGTGTCTTCATCTTCAACTTCTTGCTAAGCCTCCTGAGCTGCTCACAGCTACTGGGCTCCTGCCTGCTGCCTGCCTCTTTTCTCCACAACTGGACAGCCCCAGCTGCTAACTGAGTCCAACTGGCAGCTGTGACAAAACTGCAGCAAAATCCCCCAGAGCGACCTTGCTTCCGCTGACCAGAGGGCACCGGGGTGAGAGTGGATCACACGGGATGGTGGGAAGGAGGAGTCTGTTTTTACAGCGCTCCTGGGAAGTTGCCTTTGCTAGGCAGCCAACTTTGAAAGCTGGAAGGACGCTGAGAAAACTCTGAGTCACGTTAGCCTGCTTGGACAGGAGAAAACAATGGCAAAAGTAAACATCTCTCAACAGATAGTTAGCTCTGCCCGCAGGGTGTTCGGCAGCAAGCCAGGGTCTCATCCCAAAGCACAGCCCTCTGGCTGAGGACGTGCTCGTGGCAAAGCCATGGTCTGCTATTTGCAAACACATGCATCTGACCGACTTGACTCTGTCTCCTTGACCAGTGCCAGTGCCAGTGCCAGGCTGCCAATGCCCACAGACAGCTGGTGCTGCTGCTGGTAGGCATTTTCTGACTGTACCAACACAGCTGCTGTTTTGCCTCCACAGCCTGGAAGGGTGGAGGGTTCAGTCCAGCTCTGTGACAGGCATTTGTGGGGTGTAACCAGACTTTGCCACCGGCCATTAGCCCTAACACTGATCACAGGGTCCAGAAACTGTAGCTCTCTGCCCACCTCCTGATGTAGCAGGCTCTGGCATTTTGTTTCCTGATCCTCTGCCCCGTGCAAGCCCCAGCAGCCAGAAGTGGAACCCTCACTCAGTATCCAGATCCCATGTGCTTCAGAGAACATGCTCTGACCATGATTGCTGTTCTGCTTGTTCTTCCAACAGCAGCACCTCCAGACAAAGGTGAATTTGAAGCTGCAAGGCTTATAGGAAAAAAAGCTATCTGTGTATTTTTTTTATGCCCTCATTACGCACAGAGAATGGCCAGAGAGAGGTTTCTGGAAAATGCAGGTAGATCCAGAGCAGGCAGGAGAGAACTGGTCTCTAGACTGCACTCCTGGGGCAGGCATTGCTGATACAAATCCAACTGCTGTCACAAACTGCTGCAAATTCATACTTAGTTTCCTCCCTTGTGGAGATGCAGGCCTCTCACTCTGTCCCCATACCATGCACAAAGAGATCACAGACAGCTCTGTCTGCAGGAACCATTCAGATCATCCAAGCTCACTTCTCATATAATACAAGATGTAGAAACTCGTCCTTCTCAGCTTCCTGAGAAGCTAGAAATATTTCTTAAGCAAGTCAGACAGTTTTGGGAACTAGAGACCTTGGTTACTCTGGACTGCTGCTTCCCATTCCACTCCCCCAACCATTTCAGACCACAACAGCTGCACAGATTTGTTGCTGAGCATCCCCTCAAAGATGATTCCATCTCATGCAGCATAACCAGTACATACGTGGACACAGAGCCCACTGCAAGCACCAGTGCAGTCACCTGCACCTTTCCTGTTGGGCCATGCCATGCCCAGCAGACCTGCTTTTCCCCAGCATCAATGCCCTACAGCCTTCAGAACACTTGGCCCACAACCTAGATAAAAAACAGCTCCTACACACCACATGAGTGACTCAGATCTCTCTCCTATAAAATACCTCCTCTTTAGGATGCTTACAGACTGCATTCAGTGCTGGTCTCTGCAGAGGGACTCCTGGATGACAGGTCCCAGACAAAGGCGGAACACCCTTGCTTTGACAAGAAGGCATAGACCAAGGGGTGGTGAGCTCAGGCCTTCACAAGGGGAAAGAAGGCAGTCAAATGGGAACAAAAAGGATTCCCAGCACTTTCCCTGCTATTCTCCAGGGGAAAGAATCGCTCCTATGCCTGAGTGCTTGCTAGGAAGCATGAAGTTTCTCATCTTGTCCCACATATTCTATGAAAGCAATTAAAGTATAAAAAACTCCTTGTTCTAATGGTAAAAACTGCTTTAGTTCGACCTCAGGGTTGGGAATTGTTCTCACTGGGTGGGCTCTGCTCCTACACTACAGAACTCCCCTTTGGGAAAAAAAAAAAAGGATAAGGCAGCACTGTCCATAACCAACAGGTCGAAAGAAAGTAAACAAAGTGCCTTTTGCTTATAACACACCTCTCCAGGGAAAGTTCTTGGCAGTGCTGGAGAGTGCAGCCAGAGGCACCCTCTCCCACACTGAGAGACTGGTGGCACAAAGGCAAAGCTCACAGCCTCCTCCTAATAAAGCACCATTAAGATCTCTGCCCAGCCTCAACAGCATCTGGACTGAAAGTTCCACCTACTCCTGCATTTATATCAGTCCTGTCGGTCGAGGAGTCCTTCAAACTGCTCTATCGTCCCTTGGCCACTAAAGGGCAGCAGGACACCTTTGGTCTCCACTCTGTGTGGCCACAGTCCTAAAATCTCCTAATTTCACTAGCAAGGTGTCACAGGAAGCACCATTCTCTGTGTGTTGCCCTCTGTGTCCTAGAGGATTCACCCCACCATGGAACAGAGCAGATAACAACGCTGCAAAACAAGGCACAAAGCTCAACACCAGCACAGCAACCAGGAAAGCTCTCAGCTGTCCTCCTCAATGGCAAGCCTGGTCTGCCTGGGATCTATCAGGCACAGCAGTGAGAGGGAAAGAGACAAAGGGCTGGCACTGCTGGGAGCAAAACCAGGCTGCAAACTCTAAATACACCTCACTTACCATGCTGTTGGCTGGTTTGCTGGCATGTGCCTCCATCTGCTGCCAGTACTTTTTAGATTCCTGCACGATATCTTCATGGGTCATTCCTGGGAACACAAAGGAGACAGAACTGAACTACCCTGCTTTGACCAACACAAGGGAGGGGTTGTTGCAGGACTTCTTACATTTGGGCTTAGTAACCCCTGAGTGGCTGACAGCTCCTGACAACCTCCCTGGTAATGTTAGGGAGGTTTAATCCCAGGCTAAGGAAGCTCCTCTCTCTACACAAGTCAAACAGAAGGAGAAGAGTTGGATCTCCTGGGCTTGTTTCTGCTCAGGCTGTCTGCAAAGGACCCAGCTGCTGCCTCTGGGACAATAATTTTTCACTAGGGGTCAAGAGCTTGACAAAGGCTGTCCCCCAATGCCTTATCAACAGACTCTACAGAGGCTCCTGAAGACAGTGCTTTGTTACTGTTGATCTACTGTATCATGGAAGTTTTGCCACAAGGTTGGAAGATCACAGATATCCCAGTGAGGCATCTAGCACCTCCAAAACCCAGGAAGCCTTACCTAGGATTAATTAACCTGTTACATCTTCAAGTCGACGGGTCTGCCCATCAATTAGTGGGCAAAGCAGAAAGTTGAAATTCAGCATATACAAACACCAAGCACAACCAAGGAAGCGAGGAAAGACCAACAGTGCAAAACCAACTAAGGAACAGCTGCTAGTATGTAACCAGCAAGGAAAGAGCCGCAGGGTTTCAGGTATCAGAAATACAACATCAGAGAACAACAAAAAGGGTTAGTCAGACCTTATGTAAGGAATTAACTCCTGACCAGCTCAAGTGGTGAGGGAACAGCCTCTGTTAGCATCAACCAGCCAGATGGGCCCTATGACTCTCAGAGCACTAAACAGCAAGGAAGAACTGTGTAAGGGTAGGAACTGTTTGGTCAGCGTGAAGACTTTGTTACAAAAAAGCCCATGTTATTTAAGTGCTATAAAGACCCAAGACAGCTGCCAAAACAAACTGAAGCAAAAATCTTGCAACAGCCGGCTGACTGCAAAAAGTGGGGTGCTGAAGATGGCCTAGATGCAGCACCACCAGGACATAGAGGCTGCAAAACTAATCACTGTGCTTATGCCTACAGCTTTTATTACTGAAGTGAGGTGTTCGCCAGGTGTGCTACATGGTCATGATCTTTGATCTGGGAGCCAACGTGTTCCAGGGCCATCAAACGTAAGTTTTCATCTCAGTTTAGGTGTGTGTAAGTTGGGTAAGTCGCATCATTCATGATCTCAGTTTCCTTATGCGTGATTCCACCTGTTCAGGTCTCTGTCAGGCAACAATACTGCCATTTGCACAGGACTTGAACAGGATGAAAAGCATTCAGGGAGCTTTACCACTGTTTAAGAACATTTGCTCAGGCCTTTAAAATGGCAGCTGTTGCATAGCTGGTACTGCTCATAGATCAGAGCTGTTGGTAAATTTTCTCCTTCTTAAACATTAATTTCAGAAAAATAGTGTAGAGTTAGTAAAACTGCAACTCCTTCTTTCAAGTCCAAATATTTCAGGGTTGGGCACAATGCTGATCTGTACTTTGGGAACAAAAACTATAAAACTGGGAAAACCACAGGAAGAAGTTAACATGCTGCACTGGACCTGGCAGGGAAAGGGCCAAAGCAGCTCCCACCTTCTCCATTCTGCACAGCTGCACTGTGATCCTTGGCGTGCAGAATCAATGGGAGAAGCATACACAGGTCTCGTCAGGAGACTGAATTTCAAATGACGTTCTTAGCAAGTGACTGCCTTCTTCCAGTCCCAGAAATCTGAACTAACTCAACAATACAGTCTAGAAATGTGGTGATCAGGAAAAAAAAACTCCTCCCAAATGTGAAAGGATGTTTGCCAAACTACCAGCTCTCCAAAGCATGAACTGTCAGAAAGAATGATCTGGGAACCAAAAGGCCCATGTGTTTATTACTTATAATGTTTCAGTATCTTTTGCAACATCATTAGTGAGGACAAAGACTGTGATTTCCACTGATGGAGGAAGATAGCAAGATATGTCTGTGAAAAGCCACAGTGAACAAGAAAACAGTCCTGTCTATCCAATTTTCAGACCTTGGGAACCTTTACTTCACTAATATGATCCTTTATCCCCATGAACAAAGCCAAAAGCTCTGTAGAAGCTCAGATGGCTGTGAAATGTTTCAAATGCTAGCTGTTATGCCCTCTTCCTATTCTTGCCAAGCAAATAGCACTCAACTGAAACTCTCTGCTCCAAAGCTAAAGCATTCTCAGAGAATGGCAACAACTACCTTTCATCTCTGTTTCCATAATGAAGGCTACGCTCAGGAGAGGTAATAAACTACCATTCCAGGAAGGAAAACTCACAAGGAGAGCAGGGTCATATATACAGCCCTGCAGAAAAAAACTATGAGAATGGCTCTTGCATTGTTGGAAAAGATGGAAATAAGCATAGGGCTTACTGACCACCTCTGCAGCTCTTAACTCGTGGCTTATTTCATCTCCTCAGCTTCCCCTTTGAAATAATTTCTTCAAGCAATGAAAGAAAGAAGAAAAAAATCAGTCTATTTCTTCTACAGGCTGAAGAGGAAGGAAGACAGAGGGAAGAAGGGAGCAAAGAAACTTTTCTAAAAAAAACCCCAAACAAAACAGCAAAAATAAACCAACCATGGGGTGGAGAAAAGAGCAAGGTGCTTGAATATTAGAATGCCCAGAGTACTACAGGCAGTATCATAAGCATGTAGGAAAGCAGTGGTGGCCTACAGCACACAGGTAACATGCTGTCTTAGAAACTCTGGAGTTGTAATTTTTTTTAATTTCCTGAGACCACAAGTAATAAGGTCAAACGGCAAGAATAAAAGATGGCATTTGCCACAGAGCCACACTTGTTCATCACAAGCCCTCATGAGCTGAAGCCAAGATCCAGGACTGCACTGAACATCAGTTATGAGAAACATCCCTAACCTCTTCCTCTCTGAAGTACTCCTATTACCAGGCTGGCTGTTGCACTAAACGAGACCCTTGTAGGTAGCACTGTGGGTGGGCCAGTATCTACACAGCCAACAGGAGAGCAGCCAGAGAAATCCTCCAACACGTCAGTCAGAGACAGAGAGAAAGGACTGAAAGCGCCAGATGTGGCAGTGCCATTACATGAGTGCCCTGAATATAATTTTTGCAAAAGCCTCTTCAGAGGCATCTCATCAAAGGCTTTTTGGGAAAAATCAAGTATCTTGTCATTTCCCTCTGTTGGTGAATTTGTTTTGAGAAACTGGAGATGCACAGCCTTCCTTTATATAACTAACTGCTTTGTCACCTGTGCATACTGCCATTCTCACTGCAGCAGATACTCACTCAGGGGTCCAACTGTTATTTGCACAAGATTTAAGCACCAAAACACCTTTTAGGATTCAGCTCTACCTAATAATAATTTTAATTCATTCAGTTGGTCTCAAGGGATAGGATTCCTGGTCTACAAATTATAATAGCACATGTAAAGGTACAAGGGCCAAATCACCTCACAGAACACCTTGATCCTCTTTTCTGTGCCCTGAGGAGGCAAAGTAAGTATATACACAGGCGAATGACAACTTCTCAGTACTCCCAAATCACCCTCTTCCCCTCTCAACTGGCCCTGGGTACACACTGGAAGAAACTCAGGTATACACCACACCAGCCAAGTCACACTCACCTGAATATTGCTGCAGCAGCCAGACCTTGAGCTCAATGAAACTGTGAGCAAAGTGGCAGCTGTCTTCACGTAGGCAGCCATAACGCACCTCATGTCGGCACACGTCAAACTGGAAGTGCTCTTGGAACTGACGGATTTTGGAATATTTCAGGGAGGTGGAACGCACAATGTGGACCAGACACCTGCAGCCAGGCCAGAGAAATATGAAGCACCAGAGGATCAAACCCTCCCCACCTCCTCCTTTCATGTGACATCCAGACATTTGACTGGGCAGGCAAAGGACACATGAAAATCAACTCTAGGAGAGACAGATTCCCTCTGGGAAAAGCAAGCCCTGCCCTCCCACCCTATCAAGCCTGGGTAGGTACTTTCAATCTCCTCAGAACATGAGTGATGCTCTGCTTTAGTTCAGAGATCAGATACATTTCAAAATATACAACAAAGATATCAACTCCTCAAGCTCAGCAAGTCCCTAAGTCTCAGGTTGCCACGGACCAGAAGGAATTGTATAATTATGTACTTGACATGTTTGTTATACCTGTTTTCCTAAACATTCATTACCAGCCAGTCAGAAGCAGGATCCCGAGCTACAGGATCTTTGTTTTGACCTTTATGTAAAGGCCAAAATGAAAGGCAAATTAAGTCAATGGAAAATTTTGTACACTGACACCAAAGGGCTTTGCTGCTGCTTGAAATCCTTCAGCACCAGCAGCAAACACAGAGAGTGAAGCTCACAGTGCTATTTATCATGCTTTGAGCTGCCCTATGATTGGAACCCATGGGGAGAAAAGAAAGAAAGAGACCAGGGCCCTGGAGTTAAACTGGCTGGACTTGTGAGAAATTGTTCCCATCAGCACAAAAACTGTTCACTCACTTGTTGTCATGGAAACTGTGTTTGGCAGAAAGGTTGGAGCAGACAGATGGTGTGTCCTTGGTCCCTTTGCTGATAATCCGGGGTTTGCTGTCGAAGCAAATCTGAGAAGAGAAGAATTAGCATGCTGGGAAAATCTTAGAGAGCAGTGAACCAGAGCCACTTCACTTGGAAGAGGAAGAAGAACCAGAGCCAGTCTATTCTAATGTTCAAAGTCAGAAAGAAGCCTGATGAAAACTTTGTGGTAGGGCTTTAAAATAAAGCAAGTGAATTTCTGGAAAAGCTTCTGGACAACATTTTTTGGCTTATTCTCAACAGTATTTTCCATTGTGGTTGGAAAAATTTTGGTCAGAGCCACATATTCTTTCCCTGTTAGCCAAGAGAGCAAGAACAAGGGGGAAATGATGGGGAGAAATAAAAGAACAGCCACTTCACAGCTAAGAACATGTCCCTTTACATGTACTGCCAGCATGGGGAACTCTGTGCTGCGGAGCATCAAGACGATATGAGACAATCATCAACTGACCAATTCTGTGGCTCTGCACAGACGTCAAGTGGGAATTTGTTGCATTACGGAGTTCTGATTTCTAAAGTAACTGCAGCTAAATTACAATTCAAAGCAACATCTCAAGACAGAGGAAGAGACAGGTGATCTTATGAGGCTGTGAGCACTTGGTTCAGCTGCAGGGCTAAGGAAGAAATCGACTTCTATCTCCTACACAGCTGCATACACTGCTAACTGCCCTCCTGGGAGCAGGGCACTGGCTGGGACATACAGAGTCATAGGTGGCCCACTCCTGCACCTTTAAGATCTCCTTGAAGAACATTCAGACTTCCTGGACTCCTTTGCCCTTCAGGAGTGCCTGCCAAGGGACTCCGTCAACAAGAATCCTAAACAGGCCAAAGTCTGCCCTCGGGAAGTCCAAGGTGGCTGTTCTGCTGACCCCCCTCCTTACTTTTCCAAGAACTGAAAACTATCATTCCGTGATTGCTGTGCCCAGGACGGCCTCCAGCCATCACATCATCCACCAGTGCTTCTCTGTTCACAGTCAACAGGTCCAGAGGGTGCTTTCCCTAGTTGTCTCCCTCACCAGCTGTGTCAGGAAGTTCTTTCACACTCCAGGAGGTTCTTGGAGTGTTTCCTCTCTGCTGTGTTGTATTTTCAGCTGAAGTCCCCCAAAAGAACAAGGGCTAGAGATTGTGAGACTGCTCCCATCTGCTTATAGAATAATTTCTCTGCCTCTTCACCCTGGGTGGGTGGTCTGTAACAGAATCCCACCACGATATCAGCCTTGTTGGCCTTCCCCCTGATTCCTGTCCATAAACACTCAACCTTATTGCTGCCATCATTAGGCTCTAGACAGTCAAAACACCCCCCAACACACAGGGCAACTCCATTGTTTCTCCTGCCTTGCCCATCCCTCCTGAGGAGTTCATAGCCATGCATTGCAGCACTCCAGCTGTGCAAGTCATCCCACCATGTTTCCGTGGTGGCAACTATCAACATATCAATGGTCCATTGATGGAGGAGACGAGATGATGAAGGATGCTTGCCCCCTCCCACCAGCTCTGTACCTCACAGAGGAAGGTGAAGATGCCCTGATGTTCCTTGAGGAGCTTGGCAATTGTGAGGCTGCTCTGCTTGATCCCACCTAGCGGGTCAAAGAGGAGGTCACGGTTGAGGGTCCCCTTCCTCTCCTCCGTCCACACGTCGATCTCTTCCTGGTGGTACGCGAAGGTGCAGTTATCCCCGTACTTACAGTCCTGCTTGTTAAGCATATCTACAAAGCAACAAACAGCACACACCACCACACAGGCAGGGCGGCCCAGTCAGAAACTAAACTCTCTCTCATCTCCTCCCACTGCCCATGCCTCTCAAGCAACTGAAAACAAGAAAACAGAGAGCTGAAAAAAAGACATCTCCCCCCAAGCTTGTTTATATCGAGACATTCAGGAAAGTTAATGCAAACTACTGAATGGTGACAGTCTCAAGTAATGTTGCTGTTGGGGAAACCATCTCAAAACAGAGGCCAGCTTTAATTCAGTGCCTGGCAAGGGACAGATCATGATTTTACTAACCCCTTTTAATGCTAATCCAGACTAAGTTCTCCCATAGGCCCAGCACTAAGGAGTTAGCTTGGCTCTTGCACTCTCCCCACCGCATTGGGTAGTTTGTAATGGCACTGCCTCAGGGACCAGTCTGGTCACACTGCCTGCATGTACCGTGGGATGGCTGGAGCAAAGGAGCAGGAAGAGAGTGCTTTTCCCTAGGCAGAACCACAGGCCTGCCCTGGGGCAGCCAGGTGGAGCGGGACTAATACGAGCACTTGTACAGGAGGCAGGTTTGCAGCAAAGCCCATATCAACAGGGCAGCTCTGAGTGCTTGGCTGTGCACTGCACCTAACTGTGACTTTGGAATTCTTATGCTCCACCACTTTAGAGGCTGCCTGCTCTCCACAGCACGGCAGCTCATTGCCCTTCACTGTGTCGAGCCATCCAGTCCATAGGCTACTGATGGGACAGGAGACCCCAGAGCCAGCAGGCAATAGTTGTAGATATCAACTATAATTTCCCTCCCAGCCTCCTGCAGCACACACTGAACAGCCCCTTCCTGGCCACCAACTGCCCCAGATCACCTTTGCACAGGTAATAGGATCCTACAAAGTTGGTTTTTGTTGGGCGAGGACGGATCCTCTTCCAGGTCTTATCTTCCGAGTTCTTCAGCCTGCCCAGCAGGATGTCCCGCTTGCACTTGTGCTCCAAGCCTTCCCGATAGGTGTAATCACCAGCCTTGGGCCCTGCAGGAGACAATAACCCCATCAAACCCAGGGATAGCCAAATCCCAGCCTGGGCCAGTGCTCTGCTAGCAGAGCAAATGCATCACCTGTTTTGGGGTAGCAGATATGACAGGCTTGCTTGAAGACGTGAGTAGCTGCCAGTGGGTTCTTCACTAGCAGGGCTGTGTTGGGCATTACTGGTTCTGGCTGGGACAGGAGGTGCTCAGTGACCTTGGGCACAGTTGGGTGACTCACTCCACCAAGGCTGACCTGAGAGAAAACACATGTACTCCTCTTTTCAGCTCTTCAACCACTTGGGCAAGAAACCTCTCTAACACCCCGCCCCACTCCAGTCTCTCAAAAACCTTCCTCATTTCCTCTCTCATAAAAACATTTACATCTGAAATGACATTTCCAAAAGAGCTGCATGCAAATTCTTCAAAGAGAACAAACATTGTGGCATGTTCACTTCAAAGACGGGCCTCTTTCCCTATTGGTAAGGGACCTCAGTTTTCTATCATGAGCCACAGAACAAAATGCCCTCCTTGCTCCTTCCCATTCCTTCCATCTCTGAAAGGCTTTTAACCCTACCCCAACCTGAGAAAAAAACCCAAACCATGTATCAGTAAATCTTCAGGGAGATTCACATTGATGTTAATAGGGTTAGCAGATGATAGGAACTCAAGAATAATTCTTGCTCCAAGCTTGCTAACCATCCCCTTTTTCTCCAAAACTGGAGACATAGGACCGAGGCAGAACAGTGTATCTGGAGGAGCCTCCTGACAGGGGCAGAGAGCAGCAAAGAACCTCAGCAGCCTGAAGTCAAAGTTGGCTTACTCTGCCCCATCCTTCAGCGTTACGTGTCTGCCAGATACAGTGGGACACCAGCGTCCACGATCCCCTGTTGACCCTACAACCAAGGCCACATGATGTCTACCTCAGCAATATGCAGTTACAGAAAAAAACAAAGATGGAACAAAGGTCTTCCTACTGACTGGGGAAATCTTTACCTGCCTTGCCACAGCATGGAAGGTAAAACTCACTGGGGCAGGTCAAGAAGAGGGGCCCAAATTACCTAAATCCCCTGAGTCACTACTACCTTGGCTCCAGAGCACCCTGGGACATCAGCACGGAGGAGTAGCTCACTCACCACGGGGGATGGTTTTTGGCTGCCAGGTGGGTGTCGCAGTTCCTGAGAGCTAGTTTCTTCTGTGCAAAAGAAAGGGAAAAAAACCCACAAGACAAATACAATCATTTCACTTTCAGAGGCAGTTCTGCTCACAAAAAGAAACAAATGCTTATTAAATCAATTTGCTTTATTTATTTTATAATATTTTAATATTTACTCCCCAAAGCACCTGTCTAGACTTGGAAAAACTCTAGAAAAGGCCTTCTTGTCCCACAAATCCTACTGAACCCAACTCTATGCTTCTGAGCACTGGCATTCCCAAGGTGGCAACTTGAAGGTACCCCAACACTGAGGTGGATGTGAGTGTTGAAGTCTGATTGGCCAATCTCTGCTGTTCTCAAAATACTTTTGCTGTCAGTGTACTGCAACAATGGGAACAAGTTAACCAAGAAGAAGCCTGCCTTTCCTCCTGGACAGGAAGGGACTTAGTCTTTGCCCACCATCCTCCCCAGCTTTCCTACTTGTGACATCAGAGTGCAGAGCCTCATTCAAGAGGACACTTGCTGCCCTGAATTCAGAGACAGGAAAAACCCATGTCAGCCTCTACCATTCTGCCCAGCATAACAAGGTCCTACATCATCTCAGTCACCTCGACTTTGCTCACTTTCTTCAAAATGAGGAGGGGGAAGGAATCATGCTATAGTCCACCAAATTGTGCCAAAGGAGGTGTCCCGGACACCAAGCCAGGTTTAAATCTCACCACTCATCATAATACACCTGTGTGTTCCTTTCACTTCTTTAAACTTCGCTCCATGCACGTACTGGTTGCCTAGGATTACACACCTACAGCCCTTCTCATTACTTCTGAGCTAAACATATTTAGTTGCTCTGTCCAACGCAACTCCCTGCTCTCCTCTACATTTATATTCCCATTCTGCCACACCAGCAGATAAAGCTACAGGATGGGTGTCCTCAGCACTTAAGGAAATAATCTTGGCATTCATTCACAGCTAAGGCAGCATAAAACCCCATCATTCTGCACCTACCAATGGCAAAGGAATCCAAGGCATCCAGCGACCCTCTGCTTGTCCCAAAGGAGTCCAGGGCATCGAGCCCTGTGTCTGTGTAGGGAAGCAGATCCAGGGAATCCAGAGAATCTAAAGTAGAGCCACCACTTCCTCCTGGTGGGGCCTCAAAGGCATCCAGGACAGAGGAGGAGGAGAGCTGCTTGGTGGGATCCATCACCAGGCCAAAGGAGGCGGGTGGCAGAGGGGTGGAGACGGGGATGTTGGCTGTCACGACTGGAGGCAGCAGCGGAGTTCCCCCCGGAAACACAGGAATCAACTGGGGCATCTCAGTTGGCAGGCTGGCAGGAATGGTGCCCTGGACCAGAGACTTCAGGGAATCAGGAAGGAGGAGGATAAACAGCACATTAGGAATGAGGAGTAGAGACTTAAATCCGATGTCCTGGTTTTGGCTGGCACAGAGTTAATTTTCTTCTTAGTAGTTGGTACAGTTCTGTGTTTTGGATTTAGCATGAGAATAATGCTGATAACACACTGGTATTTTGGTGGTTGCTAGGTCGTACTTACTCTAAGTCAAGGACTTTTCAGTTTCTCATGCTCTGCCAGCAAGCAGGTGCACAAGAAGCTGGGGGAGAACATGGCCAGGACAGCTGATCTGAACAAGCCAAAGGGATATTTCATACCACAGAACATCATGTCCAGTATATAAACTAGGAAGACTAGATTGGGAGTCACCAGTTGCTACTCAGGGATGAGATGAGAATTGGTCAGCAGGTGGGGAGCAATTGGATTGTGCATCACTTCTTTCTCTTGGATTTTATTCCTCTCTCTCTCCTTTTCTACTATTATTATTATTGTTATTATTTTTATTATTGTATTTTATTTTGTTTCAATTATTAAACAGTTCTTATCTTAAACTAAGAGTTCAGATTTTTGGGGTTTTGTCATTATCCTCCTCTCTGGGGAAGAGGCAGGGGGAAAGTGAGTGAGCAGCTGCATGGTACTTAGTTGCTGACTGGGGCTAAACCACGACAACAAAGAGCAACAGGCTCCCACTGAGGTGCATGCTACACTATCTGAAGCAAAAGAATACCTGGCAGTTCAGTCCACCACAGACCTTCCAATCTGTCTATACTGCAAACAGTCTGGACCAAAATCCCTGAGGAGGTGTTGGGCTACCTGAGCTCATCAGTCCGCAAGGCAGAGCCCTGTGCTGGGCACTCAAACCAGCTCAGGTTGAGAAACAGTGCAGCTGAGTACACACAGCACCGAGGTCAGGGTAATGACCGTGACTCGTGGCACCTCCCATCAGGGCTTTTTGGCTCAGAGACATCCAATGTGAATATGATTATATTGCCTCCAGACCTAAGTTGGCTCACATAACATCAGCAACACTGGCAAATAAAATCCAACGTAAGTAGGAATACAGATTGTGTCTGCAGCTTCCAGACCTGATCAAAGAGCATAGGCTGAATGCAGCCTGCACAAAACACAGGAAGATTAGAGCATGACCACTGCATAAAATACATCTATCATTCCTGTTTCACCACGCTCATTTCTACCCTTAGGCCTGCTTCAACTCCTCGACACCAGAGGCCAGGTGGAAGGAGACGTCCAGGGAAGGCTACCTAGGATACCTTTTGAGAGGCAGCTCCATGAAGTTATACAGGGCAAAATAGGCTTGGAGGAGGGCTCTTTAGATACTCACAAGCCACTTGCAGAAATAAAGGAAGTAATGAATGGGTTTTGCCAAAGGAAGAGTTGGGAGGAAAGAATTACAAAAAGAGAAAGGCAGCATACATATCCTCATGCTCCAAGGATCTATTTGGAACAAGAAGGAGGGGACCCATGCAGTGCCCACTCTTACTAGAGGGTATGGTGACCCTTCAGCAAGGGAGTCCAGGAGGGAGTCCAGTTCTTCCCCAATGATGTCCCCATCTGTGAAGTCCTCCACGCTCTCAGGCACTGGCAAGGGTACACAGTCTGGAGATGGGAGCAAGCTGGCAGCAGGGAGCGAGGTAGGCAAGCCCTTTGCATCTGAGTCAGAGGGCAAAGGGGCCAGCCCATCATTCACAGGGATGGAGGCGGCCACAGGAGCCGGGAGGCACTGCAGGTCCATAGCGCAGTCTGTGACGAGAGAGAAACAGAGCCAGTCACCAGGAGAGCTTCTTGCAGGAGGCAAGCAGAGCACAGCCTGGTAAAAACAATATTGTACAACTCCACAAATCACAAAAACTAAGTATGCCAATTTTCCGAGAGGAGAAGCTCTAGTCTGAAGAGTACTTGCCCTTTCATCTTTGTTCCCGGTCTCCAATGGTTCACCAATGGCTGAAATACATTCTAAGGGCCAATGCCCAGTCTGACCGCCGGGATTTGGCAAGCAGTACAGTAACCAGGAACAACACAAAACCCGTGTCTGAGCAGTTACTGAGTTCACTACGGCCAGGACTAAAGGCCAGGGGCACATAATCCGATTTCTCTATAAGCTACCACCTGGTGTTTTCTTTAATGTTCCTCACTAATGCGTTTGGCAGAGATCACTGCCTTCTCTACTCCTTGGAGCTTTGATATCCCAGCTGAAAGCTTGCTTACTCGCACACACCCTCTCTAAAAACCCAGGCAACCTAAACAGCAGAAGATAAAAACACAAGGCCCTGATGGGAAGAGAGTCAGAGACCGAGTGCTCAGATCATGTTGTGCTATCAGTGTGTCCCCAAAAATCCCCATCAGGCTCACTCGGCTGTCTTTACCCAGGTAAATTCCCTACTCCTGAGTCCTTCCTGGTGTCTGCAGCTGGCAGGTGGCTGCCCATACTCCCCCTCGACACCTGAGCAGCAAACATTCCCCTTGGGAACTTGTGTGAGTCAGGGTTGGGGCAGGACAGAGGCAGTGATTTTCCCTAAGGCTTCTTTCCCTCTCCAGTACACTACTGAAATGGTAAGATGTTCCCATCATGCAATATAAACCTCTGTTAAGTGAAGTTAAGTTACAAGCACATATTTTTCAAAGAAGAGCATTTTATTCTCAAAAAAATTAAAGGTTAAAAAAAAAGAAGTTCAAATGTTAGAAATTTGGAAAATGCAGTATTACATTTGCAGTTCTCAAACCAAGCACCCAAACTACCTTAATTCTGCCCCTGTGTGGATGTCCTGGAATAAAAGAAGAGAAATAAGACAAAGATGCTACCTTCTCCACCCACATCCCAGAGGCTGCACTGTAGCTGCAATGGTCTAAGGCTATAAGCAAGGCGAAGTTTGGAAGGAGAGACAATAGTTTTTATTAGAAAGACTGATAAGTTCAGGAAATAAACTAGACAAGCTTTGGAGACACAAAACTTGATCCAGTAAGAAATGCATCCTGTCTGTACCAGCTCTGCTCACTCAGCCTCCACAAGAACTTGGCCACCCCTTTATAACTAGGACTGGGCAAGCAAGCCTTGTTACTATATCTACAGCATGTTTTCAGTGACCGAGGAGTGTGGTGGTGCCTTTCTTAGAGAGCTCAGCAAATAAGCAATTGCAGCAAACCCCAAAGTCCTGAACAAAACAACAGCAGAGACAACACACACAGGCAGGCCCCCTTACCTCTAGCCCCACCAGGAACACAGCACCACCCATTGCAACCTTTCCTCCAGCATTTGTTGCAAGTGGTCCACGTGGATGGACCACAGCAAAGGTCACTGTACAAGCCACTGGAGGCCAAGCTGTGACAAAAGGCAGGGAAAGCAGGGGGAAGTGGCAAGAAACAGATTCAGGTCCCTCTCCACATCCTCAAGCATGTCATTGAAGCAAAGCACATGTTGTACCTTATGGGATCCAAGACAAGTTTTCAGTGCTGCAGCTGAATACATTTCCCACAGGCAGCAGCTCAAAGGCAGGCTGTATGTGTCCTTAGTTTTACAACTGCCCCTCAGACCAGGCTCGGCTCCAAGCCCATGCCCCCTTTGGGATGACTTCTCTCGGCTCATGTCCCTTTGGTGCAGAACCCCGATCTGCGCCCAGCAGCTAGCCATCCAGCTTCCCTCGGTGACGGCCTCATGGCTGGCAGCTCAGCCAGATTCCCTACAGTACAAAAGGATGGCTCGTGCCTTCCCATTTTTCAGATGTTTAACTCTGGAGTACTGTCAAGATCCCTACAGAGGCCAACAAGAAGTTCAGAACACGCTGGAAGGGATGGGGACACATGCAGCAGGGAGCAAAAGGGTTCACAATTACAGGGCCCCAAAGGATCCAGCAGTCCAGACCTTCCCTGAGGAATGAATGAGGCCCTCCACTTTCCATTCAGACCGGGAAGCAGCGAAAAGAAGCCCTCACACCTCCTAAGAGGCCCCAAATCCAGAAAAGCTGAATGCACAACCAAAAGGCAGAAAATAACATGGGACCCCCCCAGAGCACAGTGCATGTGAAGGGCAAGGAGAAGAGCAGGGACCAACAGGTTCCACTACTTGCAAGGAGCAGAGGGGAGATGTCTCCTCCCCTCTCCGTGATCACCCAAACCCTGTCATTCCTTCAGCCGCTTCCTCCCACCCTCCTCTGTCCAATCTTTTTTCCTATCCCTCCTTTCCCATTCCTGCTTTCCTCAGGACAGCCCATCTGCTGACCTTACTCACCAGCCATGATACCCACATTTCATGTATTCTCCTTACAGAAAGCTCAAGCACCTCCTGCATTCACCTAATGTTTGCTCCATCTTAAAAAAATAAAACAGCTTTCCTTGATGAGTAGCTCACAGACACACACACACACCTCTCCTGATTTCTGCCACTGCCATGACACTAAGCCCCAACTATTATTATAAGTTCAGTGAGGGTCTTTTCTATATGCTCCCACCAACCAAGGCTCTCATACCAAGCCCTCCCACCTGGCAGCTTCTCTGCCCATGCACTGTCTGATGCAGAGAGGCAAGTACAGAGCTTTTAAAAGGCCAGTTTCTAACTCCACTTCCCTAGTGCATTAGCTAACCAAAGGCCATACTGAGCCAGATCTGAGCCATGACCTCTGCAGGATAGGGCTGAGTTAATCACACGACTTCAAGCAAAATATGGAGGAAAGAACTTGAAGAGTTTGCATCTCAAAACCAAACCAAAATTTCAACAAAAAAAACCCCATGCTAAAAAAGCTTAGAATCTGAAACTCTCAAGGTTCCCAGCACCCACAGCCCTTCTAGTGGCACACCACTCTCAGGGCAATGGGATAACACAGAATACCAGTGCTTTTAAAAAGGTTTCCAAGCAGTAAAGGCTTTGTCTGCCTGAACTGCAGCAAAGGTGGCATGCTGCTCTTACACAAATCCTAATTAGATAAAGAGCTTACTGGATGCAGTCACTCTTTACTCTGTAGTAGGAGTCCAGTTCATTTTAGCACTGCAAGATCATGTGAAAAACTCTCCTTAATTCGCAGAACTGGGTCTCATGATCACATGTAGCATTCAGCTGCTGAACTGTCATTCAACAGAAAACTAACATGTTTCCCAAAGCACCCTAATGAGGAAATTAGTTTCTTTCTATAAAAACAGCCATTGCAGTGGTAAGTCCTCACACTTACCCTCACACACAGAAGTACCTTCCAAAGAAAAAAGAGGGATGTGCTCAGAGGCACAAGCTCAGTGCTCTAGCATACAACAAAGGCCAACACACGTAGCAAGCATTTCTACAGGGGCAGAGTTAAGGTCACTTGTTTCCCAGCATGAGAAAAGCAACATTGTTAGCCGTCCTTCTGCTCCTCCTGGGTGCCTAACCCTGAACTCAGCTCTCCCTGGTCCCTCCCAACTCCTTTTGTTTTCAGTTCCTCCACCTCAGCATCTTGGAGTACAATATACACTCAGAGCACAAGCAGTGCCTAAAACCTTAACTTCACTTTATCTGGACTGTTTTGTCTGGGAGCAGAGTTTCAGAAGCTTTGCCAAACACAGCTTCAAGAAAGCACAGCTGGAGAGAGCTATGTACCTCAGCAGGCCCTTTTAATTCCCAGATGTGTCTCTCATTGGGCCTGGCCTTTTCTGCAGAAAAAACATTCCTGCTTTCTACCACCTTTCCCTCTTCCTTGCTACCAAACTCAGGAGTGTGCAGAAGAGACACAAATGCAGGGATGAACCTCTCAGGCCTGCTAGCCTGGTCACATACCTTACTGAAGCCACAAAAATCTGAGAAAAGGGATATTTTTACCTGTTTCGATGTCATCTATTGAACCCAATCCATTGGAAGTAGTCTGCAAAGAGGATACAAGAACGGGGAGAGAAAAATATTGAGAGAAATTAATCTTTAGACAGATATCCACACTTCACAGATGGGACTCTTTACTACTACTGAATGCATATGACCCCTTCTTTTCCTTTATGGCCTCTTTCCTTGCTAGAACAGTAAAAGCAATGGACTTTAGGAGGCCATTAATCCAAGGAACCTATTTGTTTTTACCTTCATCCATGTACAAACCATTTCGCTGCAAAGGAATACCATCCCTGCACAATATCCAAGCATTTGAGTAAATCCATACATGGAATAGGGTTTTTCATGTGTGGATGAGAACACTGTGTCCCAAGTCCCAGGATGCATCAATCACTCAGCCCACAGCATGGGAGATCCGATTAGCCTGATCTTACACAACGTTCCTTTTCTTAGTTCACATATTTTGCAATCTGAAAACCACAAACTTTTACAGCAAACTCAAAACAGGAAAATGTTTCCGCCAAGACAACTGCTGACTTGGAGCTCCAGGCAAGAAATAAATTGAGTCCATATTTTACAGAAACATAAACAGAGGTAAGTACATGTGCCTTTAGCTTAAACTTAAAAAGGCACAAGAAAAGCATTTGTCTTGAGATATTACATCTACCACAATAGTTTTTGCACTACTTTCAATTCTAGCAAAAAGAAAAATTTTCAAATTTAAAACTAGGTACAACCATTAAAGAAAGCTGACTGGCCTTCATAGAAAGAAGGCAAGACAGTGAACCACGAGAGGTAAACTAATTCTTTAGTATCCCACCTTACTGTATGAAATTACAATGTTTACAGTTTTATTGTTTGTTTGTTTTAAGGAGCAGTGTGAAGTACCAAACAGCCTGTAAAAACAGCAGGGGTTTAGTTTAGTCTGGATTTTTTTTTACCCAGTGAAAGAACAAGGAAATCTGCAGTTTCTTGTCTTTTACCTTAGCATTTGCACAGTGCCCTGGCCAGCTGGATCACCCAGGACAACACAAAGAGTACATAAAATGTGCATGTAACTCTCTCAGTACATCACAGGACTTAATTCTGTATGTTTCGTCAGCAGTTGCATTTTCTGACTTTTACTTAGCATTGCTGTTAACTACATAAAAACTTGATAACAAAAAGTTATTTAAAATGCAAGAGAAAACAAATTTGCACAATAACTAAGAAAAATGACCATTTTCAGTGATCTAACTACTGACAACAAATATGCTGTCACTAGAAATATTTTCAAACAAATTAATTTCCTTGACAATATTCCTTAAAAGTGTAAAACTAATTAATACAGTTCAACCCTAAAAGACAGTTATAAATTTGCACGTAAACAAAACTGCAAAGCATTCTAGTAGCGCAATCCATAAAGAGTGACAACCACAGGATGCAAACTCTACCTGGTTTGACGAACTGATTGATGTGCCATTACTGAGTAGTGAGAATGTTTCCAATTCCTGCTGCAAGGAAGAGAGAGGTCTTAGAGCAGAATTCAGCCCATGAATGCTCATAAACTAGGCAAAGCTGGGTTACAATAGAGTTTCCTTCCAGGCACTGCCCCAAAATAAAAGCCAGCCCAAAAGGCTGTGACACAGGGGTACACGTTTCTTAATGCTAAAAAGGGACATAAATTTGTTCTGTACACCTCAGAACATCCAACACAATCAGGAAGCAAAAAAAACTTCCCTGAGGAACAGAAGGTTGTTTCTTTTCATTAAGAAATTACTACTTTAGGAAGGCATTACAGTGGTAAAATGAAAGCTGGAAGACAACACAAGAGGTTGAAATGTTATTAAAATACCAATCACTAAATTTCAAATAATAAAAAGCATTTCAGAGTTTTTAATTTTTATATTTCTCACATATGGGTGGTTGAAGCCCATCTCAACTGAGTAACATGACTGCAGCAAAAAAGGCAGCAAGGCCAACACAGCAAACAGCTACAAAAAGTATTTCTGCTGGAAGCTTCCCTTTCTTTGAGACAGAATCATTTGGGAGTGTTGAGAGCTGCTACAACATCAAGGAGTTTTTTTCAGGGTAGGCAAATCACAAGTGAAGTTTGTCAGAGAAAGGATTAACATGTTATAGCCAGATTTACCCCAAAAGCTCTCTGCAAACCTGATGCCCACCAATCGTTCCACCTCATACTACAAAGGTGCCCCTCTGGAGATGGAACACTCTGGTTAAGACACCACTGCTCAAGGGGCCGAGGATGTTAATGCAAACGTCAGCCTCCACTACAGCTAATATTCCCTACTTCTGACAACAAAATCCATGACCAAGGCAGCTTTATGGGAGAGTGCTAGCAGTGGCCTGACGCCCTCTAGCTCCATCGCAGGGTACACATTTAAACACCTACAGTACTCCAATTGCATCAGCAGTTCCTTGCAGAGCCAAGTTACAGATCCAGCCAGTGGTGTTAACTAGCGGACCCAGGACTCGCTTTTTACCTCCTGTAATAAATTAGTAGTAGTAGTTTAATTTACTCATCAAATTAGTAGTAGTAGTTTACTCATTAAATTGTATTGCATGTTATATTCTTATAAACATATATATGTTATAATCAATGGTCTGTTAAGGTTGGGAAACTGTGAGTTGCAGAATGGTTCATTAATCTGTCAGCATTGTAAGCTGATAGTCACGCAGCTTGCAGTTCTTAAACTAGAAAGACAAATTATTGTGCTTTGCTGAATAAGTATTTTGTATCTTATTTTTATAAAAAGCTTATTGTCTCATAGCACACGCATAAAGTAACAAAGGGAAGGACAAGGATCAAAGGGTCAAGAAGAGAACAATACAGAGTATCCAAGATGGACATCTGGAGATACCTACACACTAAGCTACACACTAGGCCTCAAGGACTAAGGACTAATTAAAATTATGGAAAGGAAAGCACCTGGCAACTGAAATGGGCCTGCAGGGAAGCCAACCAGAACCAGACCTGCAAACTCGGATCCAATAGAAGGATAACAAGTGACTATGGGAGGGGAACTGATAAGGGAATAAAAGTTACTGTTTTTGCTTACTGCGTTTGCGTGCCGTGAGTGGAGCAGGGGCCTCCCCGGCCGCCCAGCGCGCTGTTTTGCTTATTTGCATTTTACATAAATCTTCAATAAATTTTTATTGCTATATTTCAGCCTAGATTCAGTTACATATAACACTCCTTTCCTGGGATCTGACCAGATGTGTATACTTGCTGCTTTCCCAAAGCGCAGGCCTTTCTTTCCCTCACCACAAAGAAGGGTACACAGGCCAGCAGCCTGCTAGAGAGTTGGCAGGGTGGTGTACATTTGTCTGTAACTGCAGGGCAGCACCTCCCACTTCTGCAAAAGTAAATCTGCACGAGCCAAAGGATACAAAGAAAGAAGTCATACCTGAGGTCTTTTGTATGCTTTTCGAACCCTCAGTCCCAGCTTCTGGGCAAGTTCCTGTCCCAGTTGTGTGACACTTTCATCCTGGGGACAAAACCATTGACAGGACACTTTCAGTTTTGTGGCACACAGAATGAAATAAAGAGAAATGCAGTTATGCACACTGGGCTGCACCAAGAGGAATCAATTTTTTTAGATGGCAGCAGGTAGGCAACTCTCAGAGCAGCTCTAGGAGAGTCCAGGCAGACCTCATCATTCTCATCATTGAGTCCTGCCAAGATGCTGCAGTTGCACTGAGAGCTCTGCCCTACACTATGTAGAGGTGCAGAGTGAGTATTCAATGCTGCAGAAGATCAGAATCAAATATCTGCTTCCAAAAAAGCACCCACTCTGCAAAAGCAGGGTTTATGAGTCCTGCTGGCAAGATGGCTGGAGGAGCTGCCAAGGCTGGCTGCTGGGGGCTGATACAGCTTCTTCAAGGTCTCCATGCCTGGGAAGGAGCCTGCATGTCTTCCCTCTCTGCCAGCTGTAGAGTTAATAATCAGTTTTGATATGCAGATTGTACTCACTAGCCTGTTTTACTTGTTCGTTTGTTTCTTTGTTTTTAAAGCTGAAACCAAGTCTCAGATTCCAACTTACTAGCTAGAAGGCATTTTCACTGTCTTCAGCTCCACTCAAACTGCCTCAGCTTAGTCAAGTAGATCCTTTAGCTTTCCTTGTTGTGTGCCATTTACCACCCTCCCTGCCCAATGCCCGTGCCCACTCACACACCACCATGGGCTTTCTGCCCACAACCTTCTTAACTTATTTATACCAGCAACTGTTTTCTTCTGCTTTCCTCTCTCTCCCTGTTTGCAAATATCAGAGTATTTTAATAATTTCTTCGAAGAAGAAAAAAGTATCTGCCCAACCTATTGTGATATCCCGTTATATGCCACCATTTCCTCCCTCATCTCCAACCTTCTCTCTAATTGCCATGCTGATCTTTCTAATCTCCTTCTCTGTGCAGGTTCAGTCCTTTCCCTTTCAACACATGACAAGCCTCTGGTTCTTCCAGCCCACACTCTCACTAACTTTTCCCTTCAATTTAGAGTGCCATTTTTTGATTGTACGCACTCCTCCACATCCTCAACATGAGTTGTCATCGTCTTCTCTGAACTCAGTGAAGACAAAATCTAACTTGTCCATTTCCTCTTCTAAAACACCCCATACCATACCAAAAAAAGCATACCACAGAGGAGTATTAATTTCACCATGCTGAGAACTTCTGCAAACTAGCATCACTGAGTATCTGCACCCAGAAATAAGTTAACTCTGCAAGACAGTGAGCCAAATGAGTGGCAGATCCTTCATCAATGAAGTTTTAAGACAGGCTCTGTTTTGACAACAAAGTTCTCAGCAATGACAGCAATGCAAGATGGAAGTACTCGTGTGCTCCAGAGGGTAATGGAAACAAGAGTGAGATGATGACTTGCCTTTCATGCAGAGAAAGCTTATGATTTCTGGTAATCAGGTAATAAGACAATCGGGTATGCTAATTTACAAGATTGAATTGTTTAGAATAGAGAATGCAGATCACTCAATATGGAGTTTTTTGGGCTGAAGTTCTCTGCCATAGAGAAGTTTGATAAACTGTTTGTAGACCACAATGATTGTAATGATAATAATGGGAACTATGTAATCATAACTATATGGTGAAAAACTAAATTAAATTAAGTGGCTCAACTGCAATGTGAAATATGGGCAGATATGGCTTTTATGTGTTTATATACAAACAACATACTTTAGATGCTTTTGTCAATAACAGGGCTTGTTTAAAAAACAGTTCTTCATCCCCAAACATGATACCTTTAATATGTTTTGGTCACCCTGTTCTGTCAAGTCAAAGAAAGTATGTTTTGGTTACCCTGTTCTGCCAAGTCATAGAAACTAGAATTTACAAGCTATACAAAAAGGAATTACTACCTGCTAACAAGGCTTTCAAAGACTGCTTCTATAATAAAATAATACGGGAAAGTTAACTTCTCGTGTGGAGGCAGATGCATTTTTCTTGTAATAGCATTACTGTGATGGATCAGAACCAAATTTAGCAAAGTTAACCAGTGCTTACCAGAACCTGTGTAATCACAGTCTGGTTTCCTGTTCAATATTTGGCCTAAGATGATGCTCAACAAAAGCATTATCAGGAAAATATTTAGGTCCCAGTATATGCAGATAGTCCCCTCTTCATTTAAAAATTTAAACACCTGTGAACATAAAAATAACTATGACGTGATGTCAAGGACGGTATTGCATGTTCCTGCAGAAATAAAAACCTTTATCAGCTTGCCTTAACAATCAGTAAGCAAAACGTGAGACATTTTTATCCAAAACAGGAAAACCACATGTTTTCCTTCCAAAGCTCCAATTCCCATTTGTCCCATGCTCCTAGCCATTCCCATTAGAGATATAAAAGCAGCCAATTAAAACATTCTCATGGCCTCAGTTCACATTCTGTCAGGATAGGGTTTTGTTCTTCGCAAATAGGCCACTGAACCTGCTGTCACTAACCGGTGTCTCTGGCTGGCACTATTTGTAGAAGTGACTTGGACTGAAGAAATACGGGAGGACAAACATATTTGAGTCAGAGAGATGGAACTTCTGGGCATAACCATGCTCTCAGGAACCAATTTTCCTCTTCCACTGTCCTCTGGCCTCACACTAAGTATGTTGCCGAGAGGAAGGTTGTGAGCCACAATATTCCAGATGAGTTGCATGTCAAAAACTTACATGTGGGAGGGACAGCAAGCACCGGCTATTGCACTCATACGCTTCTTTGTGTCTTCCAAGCTCATTTAAGGAGCGGGCTTTCCGGAATAGCGCTCGGATGTTCTCCTTGTCGAGACTTAAAGCCTTCTCACTGTCTTCCAGTGCCTTCTCATACAATCCCTGCACGGAAGAGACCACCTGGAGTCAGCTGTGGCACAGCAGACTAACTCGTTCTTGTGTGTGAAAGCAAACGTTCTATCTCTCAGCAGAAAACAGGAATATAAATGGCAGTTGGAAGCACATATATTTATTACCTCATGCACAGACCAGTGTACAAACGCACCTACATCAACAGAACATTTTGTTAAATCTTGCAAAACTCAAAACACTTCAAAGTCAGTGAATGACAGAACTAAGGCTGCTTGAGCAACCTTATCTTCTCTCTCCCCCTACCTTGGCCATGTTACACTTGACAGTCTTTAATTATGTGACCACTTGCTAATTTTTAGGGACTTAACCTCATTATGAACAGGATGGACCTGCTCTGAGGTTGTGCCATAAAGGAAAGCTGTTACATGTCTTAGTAAAATGGAAGCCTTTTAGAGCCTGAGTATTTCAGAATCTTCTCCATGTGTGTGCTGAAAGTTCTTTCAAGAACCGAAGCCTTCTTACTGTCTTCCAGTGCCTATCTGAGGAGGCAGGATCCTCCAGAGCACTACTCAAACAGGATTCCAGAGAAATGCTCACTCAGTACTGGAAGACATTGGATTGTACTAACTCCTCACCAGTGTGGACCAGAACTACACTGTCAGTACCTTATGCCTGGCCCCATCTCCGTCACATCCCTCCTCTGGTCTCGCAAGACACAGCGCAATAGTGGGGAGATATGAGAGTTTTGTGTGTGTCATCATCTCCTCCAGTGTTCGACCAGGGAGAGAACAAAAACGACTGAAACCTCTCCTGACATCTTTTCCAACTGCACAGCACTGCAACTGTGATGTCCTCCCTGACTCCTGGGAAGGCACTCACCATGGCAAAGTAGCAGGCAGCTCGGTTGACATGTAGCTTGCAGAGGAGCTCCTTTGGGATGGTCACCTCATCAGAGGCTGCATAATCTGCCACGTTCAGCCCTTCTACATACTGTACCAGCGAAAGCTTGAAATCCTTCTCTCGAAACAAATCATTGCCCTCTGCAAACAAGTTTCTCACCAGTTTCTGCAAAAAGGCCTGGGCAGCAGGGAGAGAACAAGTAGACAAGTGGATATTCAGAGACAAGAGAGACTTCCCGATTTCCCCTTCCTTTCCACGTGTTTTAGCAAACTTCTTGCCCACTAAGATGGTCTTGTCTTCCCACCCTCATGTAAGATATCAATTTTTTTGGTAGAGAAGAATCAAATCCCCATTCTTCTTGAGCACTGAAGTGTCTTCTCCTTTCCCTGAAAGTTGTCACTGTCAGAAGCTTAAAACTTTAAGTCACAGACAAATTATGACAGACAATCCCACATTCTTCACTTTTGGTATGTAAACTAATGGCTGTGCAACAGAACAAATCTCAAGCTCCCGACCTCAGCAAACAAATTCTCCATTACCTCATAATCTTCTTGACTTAGGGGTAATGTGGACCTAAAAAAAAAAAAAAGAATAGTCATGAAACAGGCATCCATGAAAACAAGGGCTTTTGTCTCATGAAGAATTCATCTTTCTGGTCCTGTGCTGATGATTTCAGTGAGCAACAACGCAGGTTCACGAGGCTATTTAACTCCAGCTCTGTTGGCCAAGGCTGTGCCACAAAACTGGCGGTGTTTCTGTGGATAACACCTATCCCACAACAGCACTGAGACTTAGGAGAAAGGTTCTGTTCTTCAAATTGGACCATCCAAGTCATTCAGGCTTGGTCCCCATACATTTATTCTTCCTCTTCAAGGAAAAATCAATGGGCTCTAGAGGAATCCTTAGCACCTTTCATAGCCCTTCTCACTTACAGTGCATACGTGATCTTACTGGTTACAGAATAAACTTTTTTTAGACTTCATCTGATCACCAACTACTCCTTAAAATTAGGTACAAGAAATGTCATGGCTTTGTAAGAAACATTCATGCTGCTTATAAACTTGGATTATCTCTTTTGCACCAAAATAAACCAACAAACGGCACTGCCCCTGGTTCAGAGTTCAAGATACACCCCAGATGCATGAACAACACCTCAAATTTCTAAATTATTTTCTTCCCAAGAATCTTGGACATTTTTGTAAATGCTCTCAAAATAAACCTCACAATTGCATCTCTGAAACTGAGTTATCAGCCCCATTTAGTCTCAGACTGGGGTGAAAATATCACGGACATACCACAGGATATAAACACGTAACATGGAAGATGTGGGTGTTTTTCCTACTGTAGAGGGACAGATTTCAGCTACACTAATTGCAGGATGCAAAGAAGTCCTAAAAAGAACCCAAATCAATCTCATTACTCATCATGGAACCTGGGCCTGAGTTTGAGGCCCTTGCTAACTCAAATATTGGAGGAAAAAAAATACTACTGTATTTTATAAGGAAGCACTTAGAGTTTTAACTATTACATAAGCAACCACTTCAAGCTCTAGAGGGCCACATGATATTCATAGAGGAGTGACCCAAGGCATCTACCAGGCTGGCAACTGTAAAAGAGCCCAGGTAATCTGTTTCTCCCATAGGCACCATATGGGGTACCTAACAAGTTATTTATCTTGTTTTCCCCACCTACAGGATTGAAACACTATCTCTCTTCCTAAGAAAGGTGGGATAACCTTGTTGAGAGAGCACTTGGAGATCCTCGTGCTGAAGATGTAGAAGGTCCAAGTACTATTAGCATTATGCTGACTATAAAAATCATCCTGGAAATGCAATGGAGGGCAAAACCCAAGGAAATGAGAAAGACAGAATTTAAAGCTTAGGGAGCTGGCAGGACAAGAAGCACTCTGAAAAATCACAGCAAAAATCCTCAGGACAGTATCTCTTTCCCATGCAGAAAACCCAAAGCAGTGAACAGGAAGAACTCAGTTCCTGCAATCCTCAGTAGAAAGACAACTGCCTCCAAATCCACAGGGAACACTGAGGTTGTCCACTTACTGAATGAACTGAAGTCCTTTCTCTATTTCTTGTTTTCTTTTCTGTCTCTCCATTATACTTGCTGTAGAGGAAGAAGAAAAAGAAACAACACAAAATGAGTCATTTTAGGTCTTGCTGGCAATTAAACAGCACAGTATTTTGTTTGTGCCTGAATTTACTACTAACAAAATGTTCCAGAGCAGATGCCCTGAACACCAAAGCCCATGATTTATCCACACTACAGATACAGAACAGCAAGCAGCTCACTACCAAGTATCTGCTTTTTCTCACATGCCACTGACAGGATACATGGGCAAAGAGGAATTACTTCAATTTGAGCTCTCTACTTAGGCTGTCAGTAAATAAAGCAATGGGAACCAACTGTTATCATCACTGCCTTCTAGGAAAGAGAAAAAAAAAACAACAACAACATTTTCTCTGCACTGGCAGTCATTTCAGGAATTTGTGCTGAGACCCTCCTATGATAAGCAACTCTGACCGGTATTTACCTGGGACAGATTTAAACTGGTTTACTGCACAGCATACGAAACAAGTAATCTACGTAAGGTGTATGGAGGTACATCAGAGAGAGACATGAAGGAAGGAGATGGAATTACTTGGCATGGTCCACATAAAACAACAGCATTGAATCCATGCAGTGAGGATTCCATGCTGAAAACCAGCAGGTTAGAGCAGCACAAACTAGGGAACACTCTTTTGGAGAGGGAAAGAGCCCCATCCTGCAGTGTTTTAAAGTTGGGGTGGGCAGTGCCTCAGGAAGGTTCAAGAGAGAGTTATCCACACGTAGTCAGAGACAAATATGGGCACAGTAACTTTTCTGGTTTTGACCAAATCCAGTCTGGTCTCTGCAAGTATGATGGAGACATTTTGGAGTTATGACCTTTTTCTCACCTAAACCAGGCTTGAATCACATCATTAGATAGATGATCTTCATCCCTTGCAGTTTGGAAGCAAATTTTGGAATGGCTCCTCCCTGACCTTTCTCTAAGGTACACAGGTCTGCCACACAAGAAAAGAATAACAAAGGCGAGAAAGGATGGCACTCTGTGCCAAAATAGAGTTGCTAGTGACAGCAAATTTCACATCAACCAGCTGCGACCACAAATGCTCAGCATTTGATGAACAGGAACTTGGGGACAAAAGCAGCAAGCACAGAAACACTGAGATAAGGTGCAGATGAAGACAACGTGCCTTCTCAGCATGGGATTGCCTCTGAAGAGATCATAACAAAAACTAATTTCTCTAACTCTATACTGCAACAACTTGGAGAACGTTATCACCCAGTTCCCTTCATTCCCTTTACCCACCATCCCTATCATTCTAAGATATCCTGCAGTATCTATGGCACATTCAGTCTGGAAGGGGGTGAAGAAGACTTTAAGGTATATAAAAATCAATCCTGACAATTCAGTAAGCCCTTATTGATTGTGCTCTGTGCCACACAAAATGTAGAACTGATACCTGCCCTTTACAAAGAAGGAGAGTTGGGGGAAGCAGGAAAGGCAGGAGTGAAAGAAAGCCCAGAAAAAAGTGGCAGCAGAAGGAAGCAAGAGCTTGAAAGTGACATTGTACAGTTTGTAAGTCATCAGGCAATAAATTTGGGAGTAATCTGGTTCGAGCAGGAGGTAGAAGATTTTAAGCAGCTGCATTTGGAACAGGATGGGCAGCGCAGGAGGAAAGGGAAAGCCAACAGACAAGGTGAGTTATGATCAGCATCTCTACAAAGGCTTTCAACAGAAGTGATGAAAAAGAGCTGGTATACTTCAGCACAACACCAACAGAAGGCCTGGGATGATTTATAAATACCCTGAATCATGAGCAATCAGGAAGAAACAAGGAAATTTAACACGGAGACTGTGAGGTTAATATGATCACTAATGCTACAGGCAGACAGGCTTGAGGGGTAGAAAAAGAGGCAGAAGCAATTCATTTCATATTTCTCCCTGTATGAGATTCTGCAAATACAGATAAAGTAAGAGAGAACAGACAAGGGGAAGAGCAGCAGTAGGAACCATTTCCACATAGACAGCAGCGAAAGACAAAAAAGAGGACAGAGCAAACCCAGAGAACTGTAGGAGAACCTCAAAGGCCATCAGAGACAAGAGCAGGTAAAGTCACCATGGGAAAGGACAAGAGATAAACTGGAGGGGGGAGGAGGTAAAAGAGTCAAGTGGACCCTCACAAAGGCTCATGGGGAAAGCACAGGGAGGAAAGAAGGATTTCCAGCTGTCTGGTCCCTGAATATACTGAAAGGCTTGAAGTGCTCCAAACAGCCCCATTTTGGACTCCCACCTATTGCATCCTCTGTCCATAGTCTAGGAGCTCCATTTCAGCTGAGGTCCAGGTATATTGCCTTGTCTGAGCTATACTGTGGGTGAACCTGTCCTCAGTCCTACCTCTGGGACAAACCTGTGACCTGCACCACAGGCAGCTTGTCTGGTCCTGTCTCTGTCACATTTCATGAAGTATTGTGTATAAGAGCCCTTCCCCCACCCCCCCCCAAAAAAATCTGTCTCTCCAGACTCAAATCACCATCAGAACTCAAATCCAAAGTATTTATATCCCTGCTCCACCTCCTACTGCTGAACTCGCTGGTGGACCCTGGACCCGATTCACAATCACATCTTCCTTGGGACTGGTGATGGACCATTGCTACCGGCATCTAGTTCTGACTGCACTGTTCAGATATGATGAGACTGTACCCTAGTGAGTGACAGCTTTGCTGGTGACTGTTATCACCTTTGGCTACTCACTTGTCCTCCCTTGAGGAGCAACCCTGCTCTTGCTGTTCCCTGAGCCATGAGCCATGCTGGAGAGAACAAAAGTCAGGGAAGTGAAGAGGCAGCCCACAGATCTGATGAAAAGGGATATTCTTGGTGACTGTGAGGAGAGCAGTTGAACACTGGCTAGTCATCACAAAATCAATGGCTGCATTCCAAAATGTTGTGGCACACCTTTACAATTGTGTATATCCACAGAACAAATCACCACCTCGAAAAACTTCTGATATGCACAGTCTACTTCTCTTTCTGAGCTCAACTTTTAAAACACTCTACAAAAAGCAAAGAAGAGATCAGTACCTGTTCTCACGGCTACCCTGACCCCACTGCTAAAACATCCCACACAGCAGGATGTGGGCATGTGTTACAATGAGAACTGATTACTGTTGCTTGCCCACAGAGAAGGGCATTCAAACATTACTGACCCAAACCTGGAGTGCAGCCAAAGGACTACAGGGAATGGCTCCAGAACGTCTCCTTTCTAGAGTTACCCAACACTTCTTGCATCCCAGAGCTCCCCTTCTGTTTTTTTTCTCCTCACTACCATTGCCACTGCATCCAGCATGAATAACTCCATCCTTACTACCTGTGGATGGCTGACCAACCTCCTGCATCTCTTTAAGTCCCACAATACATAGCTACAGTTTGATCCTTGCTAAAAAATCATTGTAAAAAACAACCCTCTGTGTTTACTGTTTACTCTCTGCAGTCCTATCCTCATCTTCAACAGTGAATGTTCTTCAACCCAAAACCCCTCCATTGCCTTCTTTAGACATAAACCACAGGTCTGATCTCCCCTCTTAGACTGTTGCTCCCTGATGCTGCCCCACATTCCTCTCTCCTTGCAAGTGGATGACCAGCTTCCTCTGCTGAAGTTCTGTCACACATTCAGGCTTATGCCATGACTTTTCACATAAGACTCATCTCCTCACAGCAACACCCTGAAAATGCACACCACATGCTGCCGCCCCAACAGCTTTCTGCACACCTCTCAGGAACAACTACCTTTCTGCCACGACCACTGCAGAAGGCTGCCATTCAGACCCTTGTTTTGCTCTTCACACCTCCTCCCCCACCACAGCAAACTCAGTCACTTATGTCTCCCCTCATCATTCCAGCCTCTCTGCCATACTTTGTTCAACCCCCCGGACCAAGCTGCACACTCGTTACGCCGGCAAAATCCAACACACAGCAAGCCACCCATTACGGGCAACACTTCAGTTCTGCTGCACACCATACCACAACTACTGCCTAATTAATATTAAGCACAAAGCTTTTGTTTTCTCTGTCTTATAAATATTTTTAGAAATACAGCAGAAAACATTTCGTGAAGCACTGTGTCTGAGTCCTTTTTACCCCCCACCCAATCTGTCTGTCCAGACTCGTCTACTCAAATCACCAGCAGAATTCAAATCCAGAGTATTTATATCCCCACTACAAAGCTCTTATCCTTTCAGTCCAGAGACATTTATCCTCTCAGCATCTAAAGAGAACTTTATTCACAGTTCGTCAACAAGTTACAAACTATTTGCCAGACAGAAATAAAATGCTGCAGACAGGCAAAATGGTTTTCTTGTCTTCAGAAGAAAGCATGAGCCAGTAAACTTGGTGCCTGAATCACAAATGGCGTAGATATGCTCTAGATAGGCAGATGGGTAGAGATACTACAAGATGAACAGAAAGATTTGTATTTACCTTATCAAGGACATAGGTTATTCATAACCATGCCAGAGCTGAATTTGGGCAAAGTTTTTCATACTGTATTTATGGGATGGCAATGAGTTCACACTTGACCGACTTTCAGGCTTTGACTGTAACATTTCAGCCAGAAATAAGTACACTAAGATGCAAGTGGCAGGTTGTAGAGCTGAGACTGGAGCTCCTGAAGGAAAAGACTCCAGGATGCACTGATCTGCAACATGGGAGGTTTTCACTGACTGCAGTTTGGCCACCTCAGCGGTGCAGAATAGGTAGATGGGCACACGTCAAACAAAGGACAAGTTGAAAAGCCCATTACAAACTTGAGCTCCTGCTCAGTCCCGCATCTGCTTTCTGCCATGTCCCCCTCCCTGGGTCTGAATGCTCCTCACAGCCAACAGCTCTTAGATCCCCCCCCCCCCACATTGTGCCCACCAGGCCTTACACCCCCATCCCTCCACACACCAGCCATCCCAAGGTACTTCCATGGCTGCTATCTCACATTCCAGCACTCCACTAGTGCCACTCCTGCTCTCCAACACCACTGGGGTCATCGGGGTGCCACCAGCTTCACCCAGCAGTATTCACTGCACCCAGTGAATGCAGAGCAAGGTAGTGACAACCCCCTCACTTGCCGCTGAAAATAAAAGCAGTGACCATAAGTTTCCCCAGGAGGGGGACGGCAGTAGCAGCTTAAGCCTCAAGAGGCCACCACAGCCCTCAACACCCTATTTTCCATTCCCTTCAGCCTTGTGCTCCACACATAACACCCCCATGTACCACAGGGCACCCTTTCTCCTGCCCCCACCGCAGCACAGCCAAGGAGCCAGGAGAGGGAGTTGGGGTGACACTGCCCGTCCCTCGGCCACTTGGTTTCGTGGCCACCCAGCTCGCCCTCCTCCTCATTTGTAAAACTAAATCCCGGGGCTGTTTCTCACACGGATGGCGCGGGCGCCCTAGCTCGCCTCCTCCCCCCACCGCCAGCACTAGGCCGCCGATCCCCGGCCTTGCGTAGAGGCCGCCACTGACAGAGGCGCCACCTCGGCCCGCCTTGGCGGAGAGGGGCCGGCGGCGCCCTCCGCGCCCCCGCGGCTCTGCCGTACGCCGGCACCCCAACATCCCCACCACCCCGGCCCCGCTGGCAGGGGCCTCCTGCGGCAGGAGACACCCAAGTTTCCCCGGGAAAAGGAAAACAAACCAAAACATACTCTTCCTCCTTCCCCACCCCCCCATTCGCTTAAATAAAAATCACACATCTCCAGAAGTCAGGGAGGCGGCTTTAAGAGGGAAAAAAAAAAAAAACCAACAACAACAAAAACCCCAAAAAACCCGAACCCAAACCACATAACGTCCCCTGCCACCCGGAAACTGTCTAAAACATTAAAGAATTAAAAATAAACAAACAAAAAAACACACAAACAAAACCAAAACACCATCTTCTTATTTGATAAACTTTAGAAGCCCCTACGGAAGGTGCATCTAAAAAGCAATTCCACAAGGGCTTCTCTGCGGTTTCACGGGGTTTGTACCAAACAAGAGGGGGAAACTGCAGCCTAAATACAAACCAGAACACAGATCTCGAACCTACAAACCCCAAACAGGGATAAACACTATTAATACTAAGTTTTCCATATAAACCCAGGGGCTTTTCCCCTAGCTATCCAATTTTAGACTACTATATTTTTTTCCGGGGGGTGGGATTAGGATGTCTGACAATTTTTTTTTTTTTTTTTTGCAAACCCCATATTTTCGGCGGAAGAGGGGTTAGCTTCAAAATCTCACTCGTATTATTTTTCACGAGTTTTTTTTTTTTTAATTTGCAATTACACAACGTTTCATCTATGCATTTACTATCTGAAACCTTTACTTTCTAATGAAGCAACATCCAGATTTTCTTGTTTCTCAAGTCCACCCCTTTCTACATACACAAACACACACACATACAGAATTGGTTTAAGACAAAAATAATCCCCCCAAAATAAAAATAAAGAACTCACCTCTTCTCGGGTTTTCCCCCCCACACTATGTATAAACTTTCCTTGATAAATGGTATTGTATTACTAGAGATATTATTAATGTATTATTACTAGAAGTAATAATAATAATAAGTGCTATTTAATTACAGAAGGCAGCATTCTGCTTCTGGATCGGCTGCCCCTGCAGCTCCCTCCATGTGCCTCCTGATCTCTTTACTTTCATTTCCAGGTCTCGCTCTCGCTCGCTCGCTCTCAGCTGCACCAGCAAGAGAAAATGCCTCCCTGCATATCCTCTGGGCCCTAGAGGCTACCGCTTTCCATTACAAAAATTCACAGATCTTTCCCTTGTGGCTGGTTTTGAGATTCTTTAAGGTGAATTAGGCTTAAAAAAAACCCCAACAACTTAAAAAAAAAAAAAAAAAAAAAAAAAAAAAAAAAAAAAAAAAAAAAAAAAAAAAAAAAAAAAAAAAAAAAAAAAAAAAAAAAAAAAAAAAAAAAAAAAAAAAAAAAAAAAAAAAAAAAAACCAAAACAAAACCCCAAAAAACCCCAACCACAAACAAACCACCAAAAACACCCCCCCAATTCAGCATTCGACTCTCCATTCTAATTTTAATGCAACATTTTTTTCTTCCTGGTTGTCTTTGCTGATATAAAAAATATACCCCAAAAGAAAGAAAAGCTGCATCTGCAGAGGGATTGCATGCATACGAGTGCAGCAATGAACTGAATTATGAGACACCCCCCAGAATTATCACATACGTGAAGCAGTGATCCTTTTGCCCACCCATATATGCTTGCTGGACGGGGGCCAGAGCCATTGCTTATGGCAGAGCAATTATCTGCTCCAGACAGACCTTACTTACTCCACCTGCACTGCTGAGGGGGTTCCCTGTAAATAACATCTTCTGAAAACATAAATCTTTGGGTGGAAAGGAATACACACTGCATGTGTATGTGAATGTGTATATGTATATATATATATATATATATACATATTCATATTCTATTTTATAGAGTTGCATATTATACATTCTACATATAACTGTAACATATATACACACATGTATTACATATGTGCATATGCACATATATTTTTATTTTATATTTTATATTATTTTTGTTAATTCATATTTTATAGATAAATATTTTGTATTTATGTATACGTATGTGAGTTTAGTCACTTTTTTGGAACCATATTTTTTGCCTTGTTTTCATCCCAAATCCCTCAGTATTTTCAGAAAGTGAACTGAATCTCCTCAGCAGTCCATGCCAGAAGAGCCCCAGGAACAGATCTGCTGGTGGGAAGCAAAAGAGGCCCAGTGGCTCATGTTGTTCTATCATGGGAAAAGGTTGTGAAGACACAGATACACAGACCACCTTGAATGGGGGGATCCACTCATCTTTGTTCAGCTCCTCTATCACTAACTTAAAATAACCTTCTCAAATGAGTTCTATGATCAGCTCCCGGTACAACCTCCCTGGTAGAACAGGTTTTCCTCCCCCTAAAGGATTCTGTCTACCATCAGGTTAATCATTTCCAGACTGACACTGGTTTAAATTACCAGCTTTTTTCCAATGTAATCAGTGACATGTTTACTCCTGAGTGTCTCACTTCTCTATTTACAGTGACCCACAAGAGTGTCACTTTGTGCTTTGCAACTAAGCAACTCCAACAAGATTCAAAAGCAGGTAGAAGGTAACATACAAAGTGTACTAAACTTGTTTAATATTTAAAATATGTTGAGCAGAAAAGGAAAGACTTTATTATATTGAGTAGGATTGGCTTCTGGCAGCTCTGTCAACACAATAAACTGATAAATTTATGAAATATAGGCTGTGAATTGTATAATGTACCATACGACACTAGAGAACACTGTATAATGCTCTTCACAATATTTTATCACAATGCACTTTTTAAGATATTGATTATGATTCAAAGATTGGATCCATGGATAAGTCAGTATTTATTTTTATTATCTCTTCATGAGACTTGTTACCTCTTATTTTTAGACAGTGACACCGTGACAATGAGTAGAGTCTAACCAAGCTGGGCCTCTGGTAGAAGCTTCTGGGCAAAATGTACATTAAATCCTGTGGAGGGATAGTTTTGGGTAGAAGAAAGGTGGAGCAGGTCTGGTGAGAGAAGGTAAACACTGGGAGAGCTGATATGTCAGATCACAGCGGCAGAGCCATCATCAAATGAGGTACAGAGCCCAGGATACCTCAAACTCTGCAGCACCTCTGAAAGAAAATGACATCACAGCTGGATGAGAAGAGGAAAGCTTAAGAGGACTGGAGGGGAAAGAGGAACAAAACGGAAATGTACACGCAATCAAGACTTATGCTGGAATAAGCACTAATTTTTAATTCAAAAACATTAATTTTCAAGACTGCATTTTCAATTGAATGCCATGTTGTACTTCCTTCCAGTGAAATTTGCTTTGCCTGTAAGACTGATAGGTGTTCTGCAAGGTCATGATCCTGCATGTACTGCTCCTCTCATGAAAAAACATCTTTCCTTAGTGGTTTATGAAGATTTTTACAGTTTGCAAGCATCATTATTGAGGTCTCATGTGCAGGTAGTCAGCAAGAGTCGAAACACCACAAATCCCTGCTACAAACTAGATACGGTGATGTAGAAATTACTTTGATTTGTAAAGCTTTTCTTTTAGGGGGAATGTATAGCATGTATGGAATCTATGCTACGATGGCACAGTACACCTACATTCCAACATAGCTCCACCTACAGTCAACAACTTTATTCTTGCCCCTCTGGCAAAGGCAATTACCCAATATTTGGGAGAATGACAGGGAAGGGAATCAGATGCATTTAATATGATCCTGTTTATTGCTAAAAATCATGAGGAACTAATAACCAGGGCCAAATTTCTTGCTTATATTTTCTGGATTCAAGCTCTTTCTCAAGATCACACTAATTCATTCCCTCATCAGCTCTGCATATTCAGGCAGCTTTATGCTTCTCACAAACAACCATAGTCTAGTCAGTGTCTAAATGCTTCTTAATTTTCTTCAGTTGCAAGAGAAACTCCTTATTATTTGTGAGGTAAATTTTGCTCCAGTTTTCTATCTTGTTGCTGTACCAGTATACGGCTTTTATTCTTAAGCTGCACAAAGAAACCTCACTGCTTTTTGTATTCCCCCAGAAAGAAAAAGGCCTACCATGTACTTCCACCTCAGTGCAGTGTGCCAAGTCATCCAGGATCACCAACTACTGACATTCTTTTCTTGGGTCCAAATAAGCATTTGCTGTTGCTTCTTGAAAGCACACTTGAGAAATTTGTGAGAGACTGGAAAATGCCTCTTACAATGTTTTGGGATCAAATGGCAGAATAAATCCTGCTTGTTACCCACCCCAATAGTGATCTCACCGGGTATCTGCCGCCTGAAATACATCAGTGCCTATAAGTTGCAGCTCGGAGAGAAGGGACTAAGGTGCTGTGCAAACCCACTGCAGTAGCAGGCAGGTTTACACACGGCTCACCTCACCTCATTGGATGTACTTTTGTTCCTATACTCAGAAAGAAAATGTCATGCACAGTGTACACATGGAGCTGTCATGCAAACCAACGCTTTTTGCATCCTTAAGCAGGAATGACTGTGCACTCCTGGGTGAAAGTGACAGCATGAGAGGACACAGTCTTTAGCTGTGCCAGGGGAGGTTTATGTTGGACTGCAGGAGGAATTTCTCCACTGAAATGGTGGTTAGACATTGGAATGGGCTGCCCAGGGAGATGGTGAGGTCACTGTCCCTGGAGGTGTTTAAGGAAAGACTGGATGTGGCACTGAGTGCCGTGGTCTAGTTGACGTTATGGTGTTCAGTCACAGGTTGGACTCGACCTCAAAGGTCTTTTCCAACCTAATTGATTCTGTGAAGCACCTTCCTCAGCAGAAAAGTCTGACAGTAACACGCAAGTACAAAGAGATCTGCAGGGTCCAGAAGGTACGCGTGTCCCTTCTGCGGGCATGCGGGAGCTCCCCGGGCGACAGCTTCTCGAGGCGCGGGCTGTGCAAGGGGCTCGGGCACAGACCCACGCAGTCCCTCCAGGCCGCCGCGCCGGGCGCCAAGGGTACGACTACACCTCCCGACGTGCCCCACGGCCGCCGGCGCCGCGCAGCCCCGCCCACGCGCCGAGCGGCGCGGCCCGTCTGCGGCGAGGCGGAGGGGCGCGCCTCGTGACGTCAGGGCGCGGCAGCCAATCCCGGCGCGGGGAGCAGAACTGCCGGCGTTCAAATCCTCCGCCTCCCCCGCCCGCCCCTCACCCAGCGGCCCCGGCGGCGGCGGCGCGAGGCTCCGGCGCGTCCCCGTACCCGGCGGCGGGACCCGCGCGGCGCGGAGAGCAGGTGAGGGCAGGGCGGCGGACGGGCGGCGAGGCGGCGGCCGCCGTTATCAGCCGGGAGAGGTGGCCGTGCGTGAGGCGAGGCTGTGCCATCCCACCCCGCGAGCTGACGGGCTGCCCGGCTCCGTCTGCGGGGGGCGCTCCCGCGCGCGCCCCGCCCACGCGCACGCGGGTCCCAGCCCCACGCGCACGCGGGTCCCGGCTCCGTGGGTGTGCGTGGCGCGCGCGGCCCGGGCTCCGTGAGGGCGCCACGGTGGGCACGGGCGGCGGCAGGGCCGGAGCTGCGCTGCGCCCGCGGGGGAAGAGGGGAGTCCCCGCTGCCCCTGGGTGGGGGGGGGGCTGGCAGGAGCCTCGGGCTGTCACCCCGCGCTGCCGGGCTCCTCAGGACAGCGCGACAGGGGCCCGATGTGTTGTCTGCTGGGGTGGGCAAAGTGTTGCCACTACAATATTCCTCTGAACTCACTTTATTGGCCGTCGGGAAACATCCACCTTCATCACACAGTCTTTAAGTAGTGAGGAAACATGTCTTCAGGCATTTCCAGGTCTTGGTTTAACTGCCAAATAGACTAACTGCTCAATTTTTTTTTTTTTTTTTCCAAAGCTTTCCCTGTAGAAGAACTAGCAGCGAAGAGACCTCTGGTAGGTTGATGGCTGGGTGTGGCAGACGTTTGCAATGAAATATGCTTCAGGATGTGATGCTGGATTTGTCTGTTGAGATTAGGAAGTAAAGGGAGACTTCAAGGTGGGAGAAGCCAAGGGGGTGAGTACACCTGTAAAGAAGAACATCACAGTAGAACAGAAGTGATTTTTAAAGTAAAGAGAATAATTGAACTAGGAGAACAGACTGACTTCTTTAGATCCTGACTTCTGTTCCTGTCTGGGAAAACCTTCAGGGATTGGAGGATGTCCTGTTTTTCTTCTTTCTCAACCTTGGATTGGCAGAGGTTGGGAGGTGTCCACTGGTCTGGTGTCTGCGTGGCTTGGTAGGACTGGAGTAAGTTATGTGAGCATTCTTCTATCGGCAGCATCTACTTAAGAGGATAGTCATCTGAGAAAAGTAATGTTGATCAGCCTTGGAGATTTCCTCCCCTGTCCCCATGTCCAAAAGTAATATTAAAATTAATCATTAATCACCCCTGAAGAAAAACCATGCTCTGGGGAAGCTGGAGGCTTCACAGCTGGATATCAGGAAGAAAGTATGTATATACAGTTTTTGTTTAGGAAGTTGTTCAAAGCCAGTGCTGTTGAGCTCCAAGAGCTACAAGGGTATGGGGTCACTTCTAAATCAGACAAGAATGGAGGGGAACGGTTTTCTGTTGTAGGAATGAAACTTCATCCCTTCTGACACCTGAAATCTGTTTAATTATGTGGCTTCTAAGCATTAGTTGTGTATTGTTTTTTATCGCAGTGGAGGAAACATAGTCTGTTTATCCTGCTGAATGGATGGAGGCCAGTTCCTTCACACAGGGATATGCTTAATATTCATTAAATAATGTTGTGCAGATGGTACCAGGCATGGCTAGCTTCAAACTTGTGCCTCAAGGCAAAATGTTAGCTAATTTATTGTGACTGTAAGATCATCCAATTTAATGTGTGATAAAATTTGTGTGGGACATCTGAAAGGAAAGAGAACTCAGAAACCTCAGATAGCTTTGTATGCAGCACACACAATGCTTTCAGCAACTCGATGGTTCTGGAACTGTGCTGACAAGGGCACTACTGGGGATATCACTGAAAAGGAAGAACAGTTGTGTTCATTCTAGCTTGCTTTGGAGAGCAGGGGGAGTGCAGCACGTATTATTAAAGGTTGGGATTTGAGGAGAGAGGAATATTACGTTGTAATTGTTACTGTTGCACTAAGAATAACTTCTTAATGTGGCCTTGATCCATAGTTTTACCTACCGTTTATTTTGGAAGTGTAACAACTCAGTCAAAACCCAAGTCTCATCAGTACTGGAAGAACTGGCACCATCTGACTGGTTGGCTTTAGAATATTAATCTAACCTAGCTATCCAGGTGAGCTCTGGGGAAAGTACTAATGACACTAAAAACTCAATTAGATAGCTCAGTAACAAAAACCACATTATTGTTCAAATAAATATGGTAATTCATACAGATTAGGTATTGTAGTTTGAGGTTTTCTTATGATAAATTCTTTTGATTGACAGCTCTTAACTTTTGGAAAAAGCAGGAAAATGGCATCAGAAGACATCACTAAGCTTGCGGAGTCACTTGCCAAAACCAAAGTGGGTGGTGGACAGTTGAGCTTCAAAGGCCAGAGCCTTAAACTGAACACAGCTGAAGATGGTAAGAGAAAATAGTCTTGTGTTTGGGAAGTGTCTCCCTGAAGTTCTAAAATCTTGTGGTAAACCTCCCACTAATCCTGCATGGACAAGTTATAGGTGCAAGGGTCATGCAGCTGCTTCTGATAGAGATATTTCCTTCCCTTCTGGTATCCTGCTTTGACCTGGTGCCCTGGCAGTTGCTGCAGCTGCCAGGACTGGGGTTTGAGTTCCTGGTTTGTAATTCTTGTGTTCCTGGTGTTCTCCCTAAATACTTTTGACAGTTGCTCTGCTTTAGAAGTCAGCACTCTTTTTAAGAACAGTTAAGCAAGTGGATCACAGTTCTTGGAACAAGACCTGCACAGAAGAATGGGCTGATATGTTAGTCTGCTGCAATAGTTAACTTTCTTTCCAAATTCTGACTTATTTGCTAGACTCCTATCTTGTTGGGCTTTTTTTCAGGAATATCTCTCTTGTTGGTATATGCATGTTTCACAATAAGAGTCTTACAGTGGCTGCTAATGTAGTAGATATCTGGAGGAAATGTATATATTCTTAATTATGCTTTTCAGATATGTTACTTGCTATAGTGCTTACTTTTTTTTTTTTTTTCCCACTAATTCCAAAGATCATGCTTTTTTTATAGGTTATTTTAGTAAAGCAAAGGCACTGAGCTATGGGGAGAGACTTTGGAGCTTGGGAATGATAACAAGTGCCCACTGACAGGCGAGACTCTGCAGCCTGCTCCTTTGCCTTGCATAGGATCACTCTAGAGTTAAATCATTCCATCCTGTTTGCTAAACAGACATCTGCTGAAATTTTGCCAGTCACTGGGAACTTTTTCATGATGAAGTGGCACCAATTCCCATCAACTTTTAGTCCTTACACCTTTGTAGGTGCATGGATTCTAGCTCCTAAACCATGTGCTGAATGCAAAAGAATTTTATTTGGGAAGTAAGGATAGTTTCTTTTGCAAATAGGAGGATGGCTATCAGAATATAACTAGAAGCAAATCATGAGAAGGCAGGGTAGGGCATGGAGGATGTTCTCTCTAAAGACCTGACATTTTAGCTCTGTTCCTATTGCTGTTTCAGGGTTCTTTCACGTAATGTTGTGCAGCTGTTTTTGCTAAAGGTAGAGTTGAGCAAGTATTGCTGGATCAGAGGGTTATTGTGGTGCCCTAGATGATGGTTAAAAGACAAACTAGATGATCTGCTTTTGCAGCTGAAGAAGTGATCAAGCAAATTGAGGAATTTGATGGCCTGGAAGCCTTGCGCCTGGAAGGCAACACAGTGGGTGTGGAGGCAGCAAAGGTCATTGCCAAAGCGTTGGAGAAGAAATGTGAGCTCAAGGTGAGATCTTCAAGTCAGGAGTGGTCAAGGGAAACAAGTAATGCAGAAATACTGACAACCTCTTTAGGCTGTTCGTGCAGAAGTTTGTCCTGAAGCTTGCATGGTGGCTCTTCCAGTAGGAAGAACGACCGTGTGAAAATACAGCGTAACTTGGGGACTTTGGGATAAATGGGAACACTTTCTGCATTCCTAACTTCCTGTTTAGGAGGCTTCCAATATTTAAAACCAAGAAGCTGTGTGAGGAAGAGCCTCTCTGCAAAGGCAGCATCTGTAAACAAAGAGCCACAGCAACACAACGTTAAGTTCAAATGGAAATGCTGGGTCAGATCTTCTGGAGAATGAGTCTTCAGAGAATGTCTGACTAGGGAGGAAATAATGAAGGAAGTGCAATAGGAGGTTTATTTGTGCCCAAGCTATGTTTCCCTACTACTGCTCTAGCCTGATGTTAAGGGGGTGCTGCGCTGCTAGAGACACTGTCCCTCGAAGGAGAGTGCTGTGAAACGTTGATAGACGTTAAATCACCTAAGTCTGGCTTTTCAGGCAAGTTCAGTTTGTTGAGCTCCATACCTCTGTAAAATCTGCATTCCTGATGTATCCTTCAGTTTCCTGTTGCTTTTCTCTGTGGTAATTTTCTCAGCAGAAAAGAATTCCAGGTTGAATATAAGCAAGAATTCTGGCATTGTGTTATTTGCAGTGTTTATTTCAGTGGCTTTGAGTCCTTGCAAGTAAAGTGAATGTAACACTAGTTTTTACAGCTCTTTAGTGGTCAAATGACAATCAACTGACAACCCCAGGGAAGGGAAACAGCATTAAGCTGTCCACAGTGACGTAATGCAGCTTGTACATGTAAATCTTGATTACAAGTGTATTGACCTAGTTATTTCAGTGGTTTCTATTGGTATATTTCTTATTTTAGAGGTGTCATTGGAGTGACATGTTTACAGGAAGGCTAAGGTCTGAGATCCCCCCTGCTTTGGTAAGTGAAAACTAGATCTGAGACTTCTGACTAATACAACCTGTTTTCTCACCTGTCATGCTTTTTGTGGGAGTATGTTTTTTGGTACAGAGCTGATCCTTCTCTGCACTGTTAACACTAAATATCTCGGAACGGGTGAGCACATCTCTTTTGCTCCTCCTGTATGAGGTGGAGAAGAGTTGATTAAAGAGTAAATGGAAGTCCCTGGTAGTGAAGGAGCTTGTCACTGGGGGGAACATCTTCATGATCCAATATGAGAGCTAAGCTTTCTAAATAAATCACATGGCTATGTCCTCCAGGACCATTACAGAGCTCCCCGCCTCCTTGAGTCCTGTGAAGAAAAAAAGCCATGATAAACTCAACAGGATAAGAGCAATATTTCTTTCAGCAGTGTAGAGGGAGAAAAACCCCCTTTAAAAAGTATGTATTTTACCTAAAGGAGTGGGATAATGTCTTGGTCATTGCCTTATGGTTATCTTTAGCTTAGTTTGCACAACTTCTCTGGATTTAGCTGTAAAGTTTTATTTCCCCATGCAGCTTTGCAGAATGTCTTCCAAGTGGAAATTTTTTTGCAGCATCACTGTCATGCCTAGCCACTGCAGTGATGCTGTCACTAGAAGTTAATCTGTTCCCTCCCACCCACTGCCATCTGCTTCCTTACAGATCTCTTTGGGGGATGCACTCATCACTGCTGGAGCCCAGCTGGTGGAACTGGACCTCAGTGACAATGCCTTTGGGCCAGACGGTGTGCGTGGCTTTGAGGCTCTGCTGAAGAGCCCTGCATGCTACACTCTACAGGAACTCAAGCTCAATAACTGTGGCATGGGCATTGGTGGTGGCAAGGTAA